CAGAGGACAGGGGGACACGTGCTTCTGGGGCACCTGTGCATGCAGTGGGGTCAGGACCTGCGTGGCACCTGATCGTGGAGGGAGGGGTCGGGACCCACCCATGTGGCACCCACCTACAGAGGGACCTTGGGGTTGTCCTGAGAATGCTGGTTCTTGGTTTCAGGAGATGACCATTTCCTCGTGCATTCTCATTGACGGTGACATCAACCATGTGTCGTCATCCCCATCTTCTGGGCAGTGTCCAGAGCCATTCAGGACCGTGTAGGGTGAAAGGGGCGCTCGGAGCAGGGCCCTTGGGTGGAAAGCTGTCAGTCCCAAAGGGAGGAAGGATTTGGGAAGGTGAGAAAGGCCCTGGTAGTCGGACTCCTTCGACTATTTCATTAATGTGAAGGTCACGCAGGCCAGGCCTCCCCAAGGTGTCATCTTACCTGGGAACAAGGAAGCCAGGGGTCGCGGGACAACAAGTCACGTGTCCACCACCATAAATGCAAAGGACAATCTCGTGGGAGGTGCACAACGGGGACAGCCAGTGGGACAGCCCCCAAGCATCTGGATCTGCCTGACCAACGCAGGGCGGGTGTAGAGGCAGGCAGAGCTGGCCATAGAATGCTGGGCTACAAAGGGGTCGTCATGCGGGTGGACTGAGGAGCGGGAAAGTGTGGGGGTGGGGTGGGGAGGGGCAGGGCCCAGAGAGCAGCGGCCACCAGGAGGGCAGTGCTTGGGGCTAGGCCGGGTGGGGCAGAGGCAGAGCAGAGGGCGCTCCCTCCCAGGCCAGGACAGGCGGAGGGGATGGGGCCAGGAGGATGAGGTCTGGGCTGGGTGAGGTGGAGGTGGTGCGGTGGGACGAGGGGATAGAGTGCCGGCCCAGAGGCCAAGGAGCGGGCTCGGGAGTGGGTGCTGGGGGCTTGCCCTCTCTGGACTCTCAGGTTACAGGCAGCAGAGCGCACAGCTCACACCTGATGGCGCGGTCACGCCAGGAGTGGGGAAAACAAACCCAGGCCAGCAGCTCAGCGGGGGCCCTGCCACGTTGCCCGCATCTCGGCTCGGGTCGCCGGCAGCCGCGCTGGCCCTGGGCAGGAGCTCAGGGCAGGGTCCTCGCCTGCCCCTCCAGGCCCCACTGCCTCATGGCCCCGCCTGGCCTGTCTGGTCTGGCATTCAGCTGCTTCTCCGGTGCCCAAATCCCCTCACTGCCGTGGGGCAGCACCCCGATAGCAGCCACTCCCAATACTCAGGCCAGCCTGGTCCGGCGGTGGTCTTCCTTAGGGCTCGGGGCAGGCCCTGCCTGGACACCACGTGGGGCCTGGAGCAGTTGGGTTCATCCTGCAGCAGAGGCCTGCGTACTGCCGAGGCCCGGGTCCCTGGAGGAGGTGCGGGGATGGGCCGCGGGCAGGGCTGGTCTGCCTGAGTGCCTGAACCCAGCTGGCCGCCCCACGTCCTCTGCCATCTCCCACGGCCAGCTCCCCAGGCTGCAGTCAGGGCCCATTTAAATATGGGGATGGTGCTACCTCTTCTCTGCTGAACCCCCAGGACTTCCAGTCACGCTGGAACCCCAAATTCAGTTCCAAGGTGGCCTGTGCCAGCTGCCCGGCCTGCACGCTCACAGCCCGGTTCATCTAGCACCTGCCCCCTCGGGCGCTGCTCCTCACGAGGGCCTGGCTCCGTCTACACGGGGAGGCCACCGATGCTGCTGTAAAGGGCCAGCGATGCAACTCTGGCCGTGGTCAGCTGGGGGGCCCTGGGAGAGGCCTGCTCCCTCCCGGAGGGACTCACAGGAGGCCGTGACCCCTGTGGCCATGGAGCAGCCGTGCAGGGATGCAGGGCTGAGCCACCGCTGCCAGCTCAACACGGGAGTGGGGCGGGGAGACCCGGGTCCCTGCTGGCTCCCAGGGCAGCCGAGCACGGGAGTTCTTGGTGGGACAGCGGGTGGGCAGGCTGTGGGAAGGCCGCGGCCCCGCTCTCATGCCACCCGCCCCTCTCCACAGCACCCCCGTGTTTCCGCCTTAGGGCCCTACCTGAAAGCAGGCAGCTTACAGATCCTGGATATTTTCCTGTTCGTTCCTGTTTTTTTATTGTCACACTGACCGCCCTCAAGCAGCTCAGGCCCCTGGGAGCAGGAGCCGTCCGTCTGGCTTGTGACAGTTCCCCGGCGCCTCGGATGGTCCCCCGCACAGAGCAGGCGCCGGTAACTGCCTGCCGAGTGAGTCGGGGCTCTCCCACTGCGACGGGAGCTCAGGGCAGAAGCAGGTCCCATTCGCTCGTGGGCTCCCAGGACCCAATACTGCTGGACCCAAAGTCGCTGTCCACAGGAGATGCGAGCGGCCACCCCTTTGCAGCGGTCCTGCCGGCTGCCCCCCCTAGGAAGGGGGCAGGAAAGGGCACAGCCAGGGCTGCTTGGCCTAGAGAGGCAGATGCCTCCCTGGGAGCCCCCTCTTCCCCGTCTGAAACACAAAGGCTCCAGCCCCACATCTCTTTCCTAGCATGACACGAACCTTTTCACAGGGTCAAGTCTGAGGACCAAAGCAGGTCCAGGCCACCCTTGTGCTGGGAGAGCTGGGAGACAGCTGGGCTCTCCCCAAGGCCTTCAGGGTGTTGGGGGAAGCGCCCCAGGAGCCAGGCCCCATCCAGGTGAAGGGCTGACTGCCGAGCACTTCATCCCATGTAGTTCTCACAGCAAGCATGCAAGAAACGCGTCATTCCCTGCCCCTCACACCCCTTACGTGAGAGAACTAAGGAATCAGCCTGAATTCAAACAGAACACTGGCTGACTCAAAGTCCATGTCTTGTGTACAGGACTGGGGAGTTTTGAAATGTAGGTTTTATTGTCATTCAAAACAGGGGGGCAACAGATCAGGAGGTGAAGGCCGTGGGAGTGGGTCATACAGACCCCAGGGAGAGCGGGCACCCCACAGCACACCAGGCCGTGCAGGGAGCCGCAGGGCCGGCAGAGGCTGAGGGCGGGGGCGGGGGCTGAAGCGCAAGGCGCCTTTCCTGTGGGTTCACGGGAAGGACCAGGTGCGCCAGGGTAACTCGGCTTAGGACGCGCCGGTCTGAGTAACTCCAGCAGGCTCTGGGGCAGGGCAGGGCAGGGGAGAGTGACCCGGCGTGTGTGAGCCCCAGGAGGCCACAGAAGGGGGCCGGGGTGGGCTCTGAGCCACTCAGGTCGCCAGGGAAAGGCAGGCTTGCAGGCGGGTCCTGCCCCACCTCCAGGAATTTGCCAGCTGGCCACCCCAAGGAAGGAAATAGCCAGCACTCAGCCCCTGCGGGTGGTTCTAGGCCAGGCCATCCCTCCCGGGCTCAAACCAGCCCCCCATCAGGAGGTAAGGACACCCGACCCACTTCACTGGGCCAGCACCCCTATGATTCCTTCCCTAGTTTTTGACTAACTGGTCCCTTTGTAGGAAAAGAGCCATCATTTTAACAGCGCCATGAAACTGATGAAGTTTCCATCATAAAATTTCTGGATCATAGACGTCAGCCCTGCTTTCCCTGCCTCTCGTTAAGGAGCGGGCCTGATTCACGCTGGCGAGGCTTCATGTGGCCACTTCCAAAACTGTCGCTCAAGCGATGAACGTCCCCAGTCACCTCCATGGTCTTAGAGAGTGAAGCCAAGAGCTCTGGTGTCTTCTTGAGAAGTTTCAAAAGTACCTGAGGAGGAGCTCCTCTTTCACTTGGCAGCCCACTGGGACGTGACCGCGTTCAGGACCCAATAAAGACGGTTGTGAAAGGGGTTCCCTAAAGCTGAACTGGGCCTGTCTGTGAGGCATCACCCCCCACTGCACAGCCAACACAGGGCAGGAAGACCGCTTCCCGGCCTGCTCAGGGGGGGGCCTGGCCTACCTGCAGGAAGCTCGCTGAGCCTTCTGCCACCCGGAGCGGGGATCTCCCAACTGCACGCTGACAATGAAAGGGGCCCCTTGTTACCTGGCCACCAGGAGGCAGAATCGGGGGGAGGAGCCACCACTGGGTCATCTGGCTCTGGACCTTGGAAAGGTGGGTCAGGGTGGGCAATCTGACACCACACGTCCTGGACTCCAGGCCAGGCCCTCTCCCATGACCACACCTGGCCTCTCCAGCGTGTCTTCCAGGAGTCCTGAGACTCCAAGCCCAGCTCATCTGCAGCACCGTCACCATGTGCTGCTCCTCCGTGTCTCACACCAGGTGACGGCCAGCTGCTTGTCACCACCTGCACGAGCCCTCTGAGCAGGGCCGCTCAAGGGAGCTCTGGGGAAGGAGGCAGCCACCAGACGCAGGTGGCCTTCCTGCCACTGCCCGCTGCCTCTCTGGCACCTCTGCAGGCCTGGCTGCACAGGCCGCCTTGGGCTCGCACTCGGACTCACCCTGGTCCTAGTTGCAGGGGTCTCCCTAAAACCAGAAACCTGGCCATCCCGCCCACACAAGAAACCCGGATGCGCTCGAGCGCCCCCTTCTCCACCTGATATTGTGCCTTCTGGTCCAAGGCCAACACCTCCTGCCTTCCTCCCCCAGGAGCTGCGCTTCAGTGCGCTCAGCTGCCTGCCTTTGCTGGAGCAGCTCACGTTCCCAGCCTCTACCCTTCCTGCCCTGGCTGTTGCCTCCCACGAGAATCTTTCCTCTGCCTCACTCCTTGATGAACTCCTATTTAAACACCATGACCTAGCTCGAATACCCGCCCCCCTGCAAACTCTACTCAACTGCCTCAAAGGCAGCTGCTCCTTCTCCTATGATTCCAGAAGTCTCCACACAGTCTTGCTCTCACAGAGTACACCACAGTTATCTGGCACTGAGCGGGTGTGCAGACGTGTCTTGAATATTCAGCTCTGTAGACTTTTCCTCTCACACTGCGGCTTTTCCCTGAAAGAGGATTCTTACTAACAGACAGACCACACCCCCTACCATCTCCCTTCACCCTCCGCCACCTGGCAAGGGGCTGTCAGCAAAGCACCTCCCTAGGTGGGGGGGCCAGGGCTTTAGGAACTCCCGCCTGCACCTCAGCCAAGTCAGTCAAGACACGGAGGCCTGGCTGCAAGCGTACAGTTTTATTGGCGATAGTGACACACAGTGGAGGCACGCCCGGGGGGCGCCAGTCTGGGGATCACACCGTGGGAACAGGAGGAAAATCAGTTCGTGAAACAGAAAATCAAGGGGGGTTAGTACAAAATGTGGCAAGTGGACGGAAAACTAGAATCTCCATCATAAGTCTCCCTTAATAAAAGCTTTTACTTTATGAATTAAATACACTGAGAAACACAGTGAAAATATATTTACAGTCATTTAAAATGGGCACTGCCAACATATTTAATTAAAAAATCTTTCCTGTTTTTGCCTGTTTTTTTTTTCAAAAAGATTTTAAATATGACTTTAGTTTTTAAAAAATACAATAAGGAAATAATTACAATCTTAATATGAAAACATTTTACAACTTATAGCCATGGTAAGTTAATGCTGAATATCTATAATTTAAAAGTTGATGTTAAAATTTAAAGTTACTATTTCCTTTCTCATTAGAAAATCAAATACAAAGATTATCTTATTAAAAACACCTTTGGTCCCTAAAAATTATGAGCTAATGACCCCATTTTGAAAATATCTTCCCATGGCGGCTAGAAATACCTGATAATACTTGTACTGTCAAGTCAAGCTTTTCGGGAAGCATGTAACGGGAGAGATTTCACAGAAGATGGACAGAAGGAGGCACCTGCAGCAGAGGCTGCCCCGGCGCAAAGCTGTCCTGCGTCTGCAGGTGCGGGGGCCCAGGACAGCTTGGCGCTCCCGGGCAGCCGCCCTGACTCACCGCGATGCTGTGCCGCGTGCGTGCGGCGCGGAAGGTGTAGTTCATTCTTATTTCACAGTATCACCCAGCCCATCATGGGAATAACGAGACAGCAGTAGCAATGGGAACCAAAACATGGTCAATAATCACCCTCTTCAAAACTGTGCCATGGATTTGAAATGACTTTTCCTATGAAAAAAAATAAATTTTCAAAATAAGAAGAGGAAGGCGATAGCCTAAACGTGGAAAGTCTTAGGATCCCTGCCAGCTGCGTCTACTGCAGCGCTGCTTCTGGCCACTGAGCTCCTGGAAGAGGCTATGGGCAAAGGTCACAACCTGCAGGGTGGCAGTCGGGACTGGGGGGCAGCCGCCGGCATTTCTCTACAGGGGAGGCCATGAGTGCCACCCCTGCTTCGTCCTCAAGAGGCACTGCTGCATGGCTTGGGGAGTAAACAGAGAAACTGCCAAGTAAGCGACGTCATGGGCAAGACTGCCCTCAACGCAGCATGCTGGCCAGTTAGCCATCTCTGCTGGAAAGAAGGGGTGTGGACACAAACAAAGGAGTTGTGTCCACAACCCCCTGGCCCAGTGTCAAAGCTGCCCCCATGGAAGCCTGCACACAAGTGCCATGTGGTCGCCACAGTTAAATCTGGATGTCCTTCCTGGAGCAGACACACACTTTCTGAAACAGACTTTGTAAAAGGTGGCACATCTCCAACCTATCAGAGCAGTTTGGGGTTTTCAGAAATAGCCAGAACTAATTTGGGACAAGTGAGATGAATCAGGTGTAAGATCAGGTTGGCAACACCTAGGTGCACAGAGGGGACAAGACATGGACACGGCCTGTCTACAGTCACCAGAGCCAGACCCAAGAGAGCTCGGACAAGGCCTGTGCACTGGGGCCACGTGCATCCACACAGTGAGTCCTGGCCTCTAGGACCAGTCCCCAGGCCCACCCTGGCCACCCAGCGGAGGAGCCGTCCTGAGCACGGCCAGGGCTCCCTGGCTTCTTGTCCCTCCGCGGACTCCAGGAGGAGAGAGAGTGGGCATTCCCACCATGTTGTTTCTGTGCAAAAGTTCGGCTAGGACTTAAGAACATTATAAAAACATAAAAATGGAGGAGATTTTTGAAGGTTGCTAACACTTTACGAAAATACAGCCAGAAGCAGAGCCCTGAGGCTGACAGCGCGGCTGCGGGTTCTAAGGCAGGGCACGTCCCACAGAGGGCGGCAGGCCCACCCCAGCCCCTTCTGGGCAACCAGCACATGCCTCTCACGTTTGGTCTGGATCCTGCCACAGTCTGGCTGGTGCTGTTAGACGAACATGTGACATTTTGGTCTGACCTCTCCCAGGGAACATGACCTGTGCCTCACAGGAGATGGGGTACCTGTCCCTGGGGCACATTTTGGGAGGTCAATGACATCACCACTGTCAGAATTCTGACAAGGTGTCTAATGTATGTCTAATATGTACAGATATAAATTAAAAACTATTTATTGAACATATACAAATAAATAACTTATTTTGAAGCAACTGCTTTAAACTGACTTTCTGACCAAATCCAAAGACACTGAGGGGAACATACATTTATCAAAGGAGTCCAGTGTTGGCAGCCTGGTTCCCCTTGCGGCCCATCTGAAGTGGCTCCATGCCACGCAACAGGGTTTAAGTTCGCCATCCTCTTTAAAAGGCTTATGGTTATGAAAGCATATTAAAAACCTGGGTTTTTTAGACACAAAATATTTCGCCAGGAGACCAAATCCTGTATATGGCACCAACGGGCTGTTCCCCTGGGCACAGCCGTGGAGCAGGTGGTCGGGGGGGCGGTGTCTGAGGCCCCCTGGCTGCACTGCGATGCTCTGCGGAGGCCCACCCGCCAGACTGGTGGCGTCCACCCGCGCGGGGCCAAGGTCAGGAACGCAGGCGCTGCTCATCCTTCCCTTCTTGATACGATCAAAACCTGGCAGTAGTCCTGGGCAGCACTGGCTTAAACGCTTAAAATCCTGGAGCTTTACTTTGAGGTTCATCTGACCAGAAGGCAGCAGAAATCTATGGCTAATCAAACTTCTTTCCCTTTCCAGAAAATCAGTTTCCTGGGATGCGGAGGGGAGGCGTCCTAGGCCGAGAGAACAGGTCAGACGAGGCTCCTTCCAAGTGACACGGGGAACCGAGCCGAGGCTTTGGGAGGCTTTCTCCCTCCCGTTCCCGGGGGCCAAACGTGCCAAACGCTGGCAAGACAAGCCACGAACTGCTCAGCTGTGAGGGAGGGGCCCTGGACAGTGCCAGGTGGCAGTGCCAGGTGGCAGCCATGGACCAAAATGCTCCTGGCAGGTGGATTTGCAATGAATTCAAGTTTCCGGTGGGCTCCGGGCAAACAGCCTCCCGGTGCTGCTGTGAACTCTTCCGGGCACTGGCGCCGGCCTCCCGCCCTAGTAACTAAGTCCGATCCCACCCACGCAGGGCGCGGCCCAGGCCCTCGGCCTCAGGAGGCTGCAGGGCTGTGACCGGCCCCAGGATGGGCTCCCAGGCGCAGCTGGGAGGAGGCGCCGGGGGCTGTGCCCCTCCTTGCCTTCGAGTCCTGTGTCTGATCGGAACACATGCCGGACAGTGGACGGAGGCTCACAGCAACGGTCCCTATCTTGGTGGATGAGCCCCTCCCTGCGCTGACTGGTTCCCATGGGGCTGCGAGCGGGGTTCCTGGGTGGCTAGCTTCACTTCCTCCCCAGGGGCTGCACTTCCCACAGCTGAGAATCCCTGAGGTCCCTCTGGAGACAAAGGACAGTTAGTCTGGTTCTTAGACCCCCTGTGGAGACAAGCTCCAGCTTCGCTCTCAGCATCTCAGCTCTAGGAAGCAGCACACAGGCTGCAAATGCAAAAACCGGTGAGGAGCCGTGGGGCCCGCTGACGTCCCCTGGCTTCGACCTGCAGCCTGCGGGCAGGGGGGGCGGGAGGGGAAGCTCTCCACAGTCCTCGGCTCCGAGATGTTCCGGGTCTGTAACTGGGCCACTTCCAGAACCTGCTTCCTTTCAAAGGATGCCCTCCCCAAACCGTGACCCCGCCCTCTGAGGATCACCTGCTGGCTCTGCAGGGCTGGGACAGTGGGATGGGGGGCACACACATTAGTTAAGAATAAAAACCACTCCACTGCCTCTCAAAAGCAGTACAAATAATAAAGCATGATACAGAATCTCTGACAAATCCTTAGAGCGAAGTGCAACACACAATAAAGAACGTTTTTTAAAAGTTTAAGAAGAATGGCAGCTTTTCATGTCCTGGTGACAAAAGCATTTGTCCAGAAAAAGGTAATAAAAAGGTAAAAATGCTTCACAGCGCCATCTTCTCCTGCCTCTCCCTCTAGTGATGAGGGGGACAGGCATTGGGGGGGAACACTGGGACACAAGGGGATCATGCTGTTCGTGTCCCAGCTATAAAACACGCTGGGCCCTCTGGGCAGAGAGCGAGGCGGTTCCAAAGCCCGTGCTTGGCCTCACTCCTGCCCAGAGGAGTCCTGCTGGGCACTCGGCGTCCGTACTCGCGTGGCCAATCCAAGGACTTCCCCAGGTACAGAGGGCTGACTTCTCCATTTGCTACTGGGTTCTTTTACAATACCTTCATCCCTTTTTGCTTTTTAACAAATAAAGTTGGAAACCAAAGCATTACAAGTAGATTTCTTTAAGGAAAACCATTACACAGTAGAAAGAATACACGGGCCGGTCTGCGTATTGGCCACAGAGCTCAGTCACAAACCCTGGCGTCCTGCAACAGGGGCCACGCGGGCGAGCACCCTGCGGTCAGCATCGCAGCAGCACCTTCCTGAGCTGACAGGTCCTGCCTTCCCTCTAGGTCCCGTTCTTCAGCTCCCACTCCTAGCAACGGTGGAGAAAGAAAGTACACAGGTCAAAACCTGGGATGCCAGGCTGAGATGAGGCACGCTGCACCCCAGTAGCATCTGTGACCTCATGCACGGGAGCCCAGCTGCTGCGGGAACCAGAAGGGCGGTCCCTCAAACACCAGAACAGGGAATCGCCATTTGGCTCAGAAATCAGGTCACCTCCAGGGCCAGTGAGGACTCTGACGTGCCACAGGATCAAAGTACGAAAATGGGGGTGGGAGATCCCAGCAGGGGCCTGCACCTCGGGACTGCCTTGCTCTGTTCTCAGTGGCACTGGGGCTGGAGGGGCTGGTCTGATGCCAACGCCTGGCCCAGTCTATTTCCACGGCAAACTGCATATCTTGACATATCATGTAAAATTAAGAATTTCCCACCTTGTCTAGAATCAGAAGTTGAAACTTAATTACTGTTTGAAGCATGGCATAGCAAATGTGACAGAAACACCACCAAACCCGAGCTGCCTCCACGCCAGTGAAACCAGGCCCAAGCACTTCCCGGTCCTGCAAGGGGAGGAGAGCCTCGGATGCCCACCCCCCATATGCCCTCTGCCTGAGGATAGGCCAGGATGCCAGCTCTAATTAGTCCCATAAGGCAGGGCAGCTTTTAGAGACAAGACAGGTATGTGCGTTGTGTTTAACCACCACCAAGCACAGGTCACACAGGCCACAGCACAGAGGATGCCAGGCAGAGGGCTCCAGGGACCTGCCACAGCAGGAGATCCCTGAGACCCGAGCCTGGCCGTGTTCCTCCCCACCAAGGCTGCCTGAAGCCACTGGGATTACTTCTGCAGCCACCACGCCCCAGCCTTAGCACACAGTGGTCCCCGCCTGGGGACACACTGGGCCTGGAGCTGGACATCAGGGCCACGGTGAGCCCCCTTCTCAGCCAGGAGCTCCCATGCCCGGTGACCCAGAACCCTCTGGCCTTCCGGGAGCGCTCACTGTCTCATGCTCAGAGCTCTCCTAGTCAGAAAGTGGACTTATTTTAGAAATAGTGCCCGGGTAACAATCTCCATGCCCAGAAAGATCAGACTCTTCTAGTCCTCAGGAAAAGGCTGGGTGAGCAGATGAGACCACGTGTGTGATGCACCTAAAAGTGATTGACGTTCCCAGAGTGGACAGGCCACCGTCCCTGCCTCCAGCTGTGGTCCCTTGTCACTCTTCCCAGGAATCCTGGGAAACCCCTGCTCAATCCCATTCTTTCAGAAGGCTGTAGGCACGATTCCTGGCTGCTTCCTTGGCATCTCTGGGCCGTGAGCAAGGAAGTGGCCCTCTGGGAGTGCAGGGGGCCTCACGGCCAGCTGTGCAGCTGAATCAGCTGTAAGCACGTTTGCCGTTTACCATGAAAACAGGTTGGGAACTGGCATGCCGGGCCTTTGGCTGGTGGGACCACACACAGTAAGGGGAGCTCTTTCAGGGCTGGCGTTACACAGTTGCAAATCTGATTTCCTTGATGGTAAAGAAATCAAATAAATGAAATACTTGTACTGTATTTCTCATCTGCAAGTGATTAGAGGACTTCACCAGACAGCTCAATTCTGAACGTCTCTCAGCCAAAACATATTCCTCTGTAAACGAGCATCAGGCACAAACTGCAGACACTTGCCAGATGCTCAGGGAATGACAGAAATGCTGCAAGCTGATTCTTCCCCCAAATTCACCGACATCCCCCCCCATCAAACACATGCGCTAGGAAGGCCAGGTCCCCAAGGATACTGTCACAACCACAGGGGCCCTTCCGGGAACACGCCTGGGGGCGGCAAGGGTCAGCTCTCCCACCTTTTGGAAAATAATGCCTTTTTAGCCCACTTGGAACGGGCAGCACTGCCAGAGAAGAAACGCATGGGGCAGCACTGGTGGTCAGGGGCAGACTGGGGCGTGGCGGCCTCCACATCTGACCGCAGGGCAGGGCAGGGCAGGGCAGGGCAGGGCAGGGCAGGGCAGATCATCTGACAGATTCATGTGATTAATTATACCAGGTATGTTTTTTTCCTACACACCTCCAGTTCCTGCCATCAGAACTGTTTGCTTTGGTAAACTGCACATGATTTCTAAATTCTCTGAGATTTTTAGGTTTAGCAACACAAGTCGGTAGTCAGCTGACCCCGCTGGAGGCTGGGGGACGCCGCCGATGGGGCAGGTCCCCGACCGCAGGCTGGTCAGGAGGAACCGGAGTCTGCTGCTTCTGAGCTCAGACCACAGCGCTGCTGCCCCGACTGCGCCACCTCTGGGCCGGGCGCTGGGCTGTTCTGCCTCTGGGGAGGAGGCTTCCTGAAGGAGGCTCTGCCCGGGGAAGCCTGGCCCCTGAGGGCAAACTCAGCTCCTTCCTCCCTCCCCCCAGAGCCTGTCGGGGGAGCACCCAGGCCGTGCCCCGCGGGTGGCGGCTCACCTTGGCCTTGCGGAGCACGTGGCCGCGGTGTGGGGAGCTGCAGGCCGGCTGGCTCCTCCTGAGGACGGCCGCGCTGTTCACGGGCACGGGACCCTCCGCGTCACTTGTTTCGCAGCTGGACAGGGGCGAGTTCTCCAGGGCCTGGTGCCGCAACACCGGAGACTGGGTGGAAAGATGGGGCTGCGTGAGGCATGGGCCATGCCGTCTGTATTCCCCAGCAGCAGCAGAGCGGTGTATTTTAAACAAAAAACAAGATTTTGAAAAAAGGCAAAAATAAGAAAAATAATGATAAGGACGACCTCAGAGCTGGGGCCCTCTCCCATCTGTGCAGACATGGGCTGGGCTCAGAAGGTGCTAATGTGCCGCTGGGGGCGGGCAGTGGGCTCCAGCCCTGGCCTTCGCGTCACCCGGCCCTTCTACCGCGACTGCACCCTTTGCACTGCGCTTTCTAATGAATGCGCCAGGAGCTGCTCCACCTCAGCCGCCCCTGCAGCCCCCAGGCCACAGTGACCTCTGGGGACTGCGGTTAGGGGCGAGGGGAGCAGCAGCCCCTGGAGCCAGTCACGTGGCTGGGCTCATCGGGGTGACTCCAGCTCGGTTAATGCTGAGAATGTCCCACCTACGTGGTGCAGCTCACATATGCCAAGGGAAGCCACCTTCTGGAACACTTAAAAGGGGACAAAATGTACATTTGGTTGCCAAGCCCCCCATCCTGACCCGTCCACCAGATTACAAGCTGCTCTTTGGGAAAAGCATGGCAATTAGCTGCGCGTCCCCCGATGAGGTCTCCGAGGCCCAGGCGCTCCCCACCACCGCTGTGTGATGCGTGACTGGAGATCCTGATCAGGTCCTACGCATGCATACGGATTTAGGGGAATAGGGCACCAATCACCATTAGGACAGCTCCCTTAGGGCTCCCTATGAGGGCTCCCGACCATGGACCCTGGGCAGCCAGCTCTGCCCGTGTTCTACCTCACTTGGAAATGCTTCTCAAAGGCCACACTGGCAGGGCAGGAGCAGGGGAAAGAGCCATGGCAGAAAGGACAGACCTCCTCTGGGGAGCCTAGGCTGGGTTCTGAAGCAGCAGGTTGGGCCACAGAGGAGGCAGCCGAGCAGCAGGTGCTGGGCTGGGGCGGGGAGGGCACCACGGGGCTCCGAGCATGGAGGTCGCCTCAGTGAGAGCAGCTCGGGGAGGAAGCACAGTGAGTTCTGCGGGGAGGGGGACCTGGGCACTGTGGGCACAGACAGCTGTTTCCGAAGTCTGACTCGGAGGGAAGGTGTGACGTACAGCACGGCGACTGGAGGGGAACAGGAGCCCAGGCAGCATCCTGAAGGAGGCCGGCAGAGGGGCGGTGCAGATCCAGAAGAGAAGCTGGCACGGCCCCTGAGCAGCCCGGAGAGCTGGGACCAGGGCGACCCCGCCCCTATTCCAGCGGGCTGGGACGTGGCGCTGGCAAGTCTAGGTCGCCCTGTGGTGGGGGGCGAGGGGCCTGAGTGGTGCACAGGCTCTCCTGCCCTCAGCCCCCTGCTGACGAGGACCCAGGGGCCCAGAAGTCTGTGTGCCCCGAGGAAGACCCCTGGCCCAGCACCAGCACACGCAGCCTACTGCCCGCTCCTGTCAGACTCGTTGTGCCCTGGGTCCCATTTATGCCACACACGAGAAGCTGTGTGGCCCCAGCCCTTGGTTCAGATTCCCACTGCACCCTCCCCTCCCTGGTGTACTGCTCCCCACAGCACCTGCCACATCCAACGTCAGCGGCTCTTACGGGGCTTCCCTCCAGAGTACTGGCTCCGCGAACAGTCCCCGGCGCACAGGAGGAGCACAGCCCACGCATGTGATTGTTGCATGGATGAAAGAAAGGGCTACAACACATGAACGAATGGACACGCTCTCTTTGGTGAGGCGTTGAGCCCAGAGCTCTCACACGCTTGGTCCTTCCCAGGAGGTAATACCATCACCCCTACTTTACAGACAGCAAATCGAGGCCTAGGGAACACTGGCCTGTTTGATCCCAGAGCCTCTTTCCTGAACACGCCCACGCCACTGGGCTGTGGCAAAAAGACTGGCGCACATTTGGTGTTTTGGTGACAGAAGCGCCTACACTGCTGCCAGAATGAAATCTGCCAAGTAGGAGAGGGGTGGTCCCTGGAGAGGGATGGGAGACTGGAGTTCGTAGGAGGGGGCTGACTGTGTCGGTGGTGAGCGGGAGGACGGGACGGGCAGGCGCTCAGCAGGGCCGCCAGGGTGTGGGTAAGCGGCAGCGGGGGCTCAGTGGCTCCTCCCCCGGACATCCGCAGGCCTTCCCCACTCATTCCCAGTGCTCGGAAGAAGGGACCAAGGGGTTCAGCAGGCTCAGCATTTTGCTGAATGGTTTGGAAAGAAGGACCCCAAAGGAGCATTTACGGTGCTGGCGAGGTGGAGGGAGGGAGGGAGTGCTGTGGGCTTCCCTGGGAAGGAGGACGTGCGCTAAGATTTGCGCCAGAGAAGCCGCCTGCCTTCGGCGAGCTCACCTCGTTGCTGTGGGCCTCAAGTTCCTATCTGTCAAACGGAAATGGTAATGCCAGACTCACAGTGAGGACCCACCCAGAAAAGGCCTGAGAACAGGACAGCAGGGTCTCAGTGGCTCTGAGGGAAACAGGGGTGAGCAGTAAGCCATTTGGGGTTCACTCGGAAAGTGATTTCTGCTCACTGGTTTCTCCAGCAAGGGTAGCATTCTCAGAACATGCTGGGCATTCATGCAAACATGCTACATGGATTTAAGGTTTCTGTCTAATGAACTGGCATCAGATCAGGACATAGTTCAAAGAGAGAAAAACAATTATACCAATTAGAATCAGATGCACAGGGGAAGAAAACAGACCTTGTTTCCACCACCTTTAAAAACTTCAGTGAGGGAGATAAAATTCAAGGCCAGCGCCCTTCCAACCCAGTAAGGTCAGTGCCGGAAGCCAGGATGTGAGCCTGTGTCTGTGCTGATGCTGGGGGGTGAGCAGCTACTTTATAAAGCAGCCCATTTGCTCTGGACACCCCTTTCGGAGGGGCGCTGGCCACCATTACCTGTGGACTGGCCGCCCCCGGCCTGGGCTCGATGGCCAGCCCCAGGGTGACGCCACCGGCCAGGGCTTTCCTCAGGCTCTCCTGGACCTCCGTCAGCTCCAGCTCCAGGCTGACGCGCTGCGCCTCCCTCTGCTTGCACGCCTCCTCCAGCTTCCTCAGCTTGTCTTCCAGAACCACCTGGGTCTTCCGGCCTGGAATCCCGGAGAAACGCTGTTGCTCCAACCGCAGGCAAGGATTGCAGAGTGACAGAGCACACGCACTGGGTGCCTCCAGGAGAAGCTCCATTAGGTTTGGGGGGTTGAGCTTCCCTGACTTGGGGACTTTCCACAAAACCCAAATTCAGCTGTTCTCTGAAGGAACAAAGCTCTTTTCTAGTCACTTTCCTTTGCTGCAGCTGGAAGAATATGTCCCAGAAGCCAGGCCCTTGGTTCCCAGGAGTCCTGGGTCCAGGCCTCAATGCACTTATCTAAATCTGAGACAGGGGCCGTGGGTGTAGTCAGAGTGGGGTGAGGGTCTCCGGAGAAAGCAAGGCGGGGTACTTACGGTCAGAGCAGAGTGGCTGCATGCAAGGAAACCCCCTACCAAAGCTCTGTGTTAAACACTAAGCTCTAGAGTCATTCTTCGGTGAGATAAGTTAATGTTCCCCAGATAAAGGAAAGCATCTCAGCATAGCCCATGTTTTATTATGTGAACCATTTATGATCATGTGTAAGGTTCACTTTAGTATGCTAAAGGGACTTAATGTCTCATCAAGGACAAACATCCTAAGACCACTTTTAACAAGTCCACACGCCTAAGCCCTTTATCAGTGCCCCCAAATCCTCAAGTGCCTATAAACCCACTAGACAGTGCACTGCCTGGGCTCTCTTGTCCCCTGGCCCGAGCTGGGAGCTCTGTCCTCTACTGTACCGCTCAGTGAAAGCGTCTTGCTGGCCCTCCTACCTTCGGTGTTTACTGAGCTTATTCTTCGGCTCCGCAAACAAGAACCCCGGCGTCAAAACGAGGAACTTCTAGTACTGACTTGAAAGTCTGAACATCTTGTAAATTCTTCTACCAGATATTCTAGAACCATCCTATTTGCCCCACAGTAAAGCTATCATACAGCTGCATCTCCACAGACCATGGCTCATGTTTCTTTAGGGCACGTTTGCTTCATTTATCTTATTTGAAACTTGTCACAGTGACATGGGGAAGCAGGTAATGTAGTCACTGGACAAATCAAAAAACTGATTCCAGGGGCTCGACAGATGGGTGACCTGGACCCTGATGTAGTGCCAGCACACGAGACTGTTTCAGGGCCCGGGTCCATCTCCTGCATCTCCACAGTCCAGGGAACTGGGCACCACGGAAGGAAGAGCCTCCGTCTGTCTTGCTGGCCTTCGGTCCCTCCCAGACGCCCTTGGGCCACACGCCCCCTCCTCCTCCTGCAGGGCTCTGACCTGCACACCTAGTCTCCACTGTTTCCAAAAGCACTTCCCTTCCTAAAAGTCCCGTAGGCACAAAGACTGAAGGCCCCCGCTGCACGCACGGACCTGCCACCGCCTCCCGCTGGGTGAGCTGCTCCAGGGCAGCGCTTCCTCTCCGGCCCTCCAGGCCCTCTGCGCGGGCCTCCCTCAGAGGCCGCCCCGGTCCGACTCTGAAGAGGCAGTCCTGAGCTGAGGCGATACCCGTTTAAGTGGTCCTGTGTCCAGGGCCGGGAGCCACATGCCCAGGCCTGCCAGCGCGCGTGACCACACCTGCAGCAGAGACCCTCCGGCGCTGGCTCAGCTCCCCCGACCGCTGCCTGCGGTCTGACTTCCTCCTCGGGGGCTGTTCCCGCTGACCGGGCCTCTTCCCCTGAGCCTTCCCAGCACTCAGACACTGCCTCCCTCACCAGTGCCGTCTTGGGGAACCGAGGGTTCCTTCCCCCCAGGCAGAGGCCTCTTCCCTGGGCTTTGGAAGGTAGTCTGTCCCTCTGGGCCATCCTCCGGCTTCATTAGGCACACTGACGCGGAACTCTGAGCCCTAGGCTGCAGGGCTTGTCCTCAGAGGTCTTTGCTGTTACACCCGAGGGCAGGGCAGCTTCCCAGGCCTTCCTGCCCCGGTGAGCAGGCTGAGGGTCAGCTCTGGCCTCCTCCTGCCTGTCCACCCTGGCCCCTGACCTGGCTAACAGCAATGCTTCCAAACTGCGCAGTGTGACGCAGTCCAGGACGGGGGCCCTGGGAGCGACAGGCCTGTTGGCAGACAGGAGCCCCTTACCCGCATTCACTTCGATGGCAGCCTTCAGGTCTCTCCTCTCTCTCCGGAGCTGGGCCAGCTGGCTCCGCAGGGCCTCTCTGCTCTTCAGCAGCTCCCCCTCTTTGGTCTGCAGCCGCTTGGCATCAGCTTCCACCCGGTTCTTGCCGTATTTGTATTGGTCAGCATCTTGGAAAAGAAAAAAGCAACAATAGGAAATCGGGGGCTGTCCCATCTAATGGGACATTAGGCTTGACAAGCAGATAACAGGGTGACTCAAGCCTGTTTAATCAGTCAGATCCACCTTCCATAAGGTCGAGAGTGGACCTTCCATCATCTGAAAAGGGGTCCATCCATGTCAAAACAATCTCATGAATTTGTCGGTTCTCTGTAGCGTATTTTAAAATGATTCCCGTGACACTGTCACATCTGAGCTTGACAACCACGCGTTGGCTGACCCACTGAGACTGAGCACTGCGGGTGGGAGCGAGGTGTCCGCGCCCGGCGGCCTGGGCGTGAGCCCAGCTGCCCCTCAGCGGCATGACCGAGAACAAGGCGCCGCGGCCCGGCTTCCTCATCCGCGAAGCAGCGGTGATGGGGCAGGTGCCTGCTCAGGGTCAAGTCAGTATCTGAAAGCTCACAGGACCACCACCGATGACAGCGGCGTACATGCTCATTAAATAAAGCGGATGAACGCAGAGGAAACTGCATGTTAGGGAATGTTTTAGGGAGAATCGAGCGCTCTGGCCGATACCGTACCACGGGTTAATATCGCGTCCAGACCCTGACCCGTGCTGCTCTCCTCCAACAACGCTGGCCTTTTGATGATGATAATTTAGAAAAAACCTTTTTGGAAAAATATATCAACAAGTTGAAGAAGCCAGCGAGATGGGTCAGGTCACCAGTTCTGAGGCTCCCACTCTTCTGGGCGGCTTCTAACCGTCAGTTACACCCACAGTCCCTCTGTATTCATGTGCCCCCCACTTCCTCAGGCTCCGCCGCACGGCGATCATTTGCTTGCACATCCGACCCCATGACGAGACTGGGAACGACTTCTGGGCAGAAGCCAAACCAGGTGGTGTGACGGGTGATAATGAAGGCAGTGGACGGGAGGGGTGGCTATGATTCTGGGCAAGCAATTACTCGCCCTAAGCCTCGGCCAACCCCGTGCAAGGCAGAAGGGGGAAGGCCTGCCAGTGGGCAGTTCAGTAATGTACCTGACACGGAGGTGGACACCCGCTGGCAGCCCTGATCTCTGCCCATGACTGCGTCCCCAGAGCCTCGTTCACTCAGACACCATGGGCAGCCATTTGCAGTGCCTGTTCCAAATGCCGAAATCACCGATTCCTGCAACACAGGCTCGGCATTGCCGGAAATACTCCCTTTATGAAGTCAGGTAAAACTCAACAGCCCCCAGCCAACTGCCCTCTGTAATGATCAAACAAGCAGACAAAACCACATGTGCAGCAGTACTTAAAGGGCGGCCTTTAGTGCCCACATCATAACCGAAACCAGAGCACGGTTACTAGTGGCAGGGTCACCACACGTTCAGCAAAAAAGCAAAGCCCGAGCTCGTCACTTACTTCTGATCTGAGACGTATTCCCTACAGACCTACATGCGATGACCCGCACATTCCCACATCCTTCGGTCCTCACACAGTGCCATCTAGTCTGTAAGGCAACTGGCTGAATTCAGCAAAAACACAGAATGTAATTATTTTTCTCTTTGTCACCATTAGATGTCACCAATGTTAATAAAAATTCCCTACATATGGGCTCATAAAGTAAAGAAATAAATCATCTAGGAAATAAACTAAGTGAAGGTACAGGAGAGCAATGCTAGGGAGAGAGAGATTCCCCTTGGCTCAGGTCTTACGTAACAAAGCCACTCCCTTCTGCCTCTGCGCCCTCCAGAAATGAACTAAAATTTTAAGTGAGTATAAATACCCCCAACTGTTTTAGGGAGATAAGATTGCCAGAAAGATAAGGCAGCACATTAAACACATCATGAGGATGATTTGGTCCAGTGGGTTCCAGACCTCTCTGCTGGGATGTCTGTCTGTCTGTCAGGGGAGGAGGGATCCGTAGGCTCATGTAAAGAACACATAAGCTTCCTTGGGCAGAGGCAGCGAGTACTGCTGAGCGATTCCCAGGCTGTCTGTGTATATGGCTGAGGACACCACCAGCCTCCCAGCCCTCATGTACTCTCTTAAGTAGGTCACAGTGCAAACAGGGAGGTCAGAAGCCACAGATGGCACACCCCTGGTACAGCCAACCTTGTCCTCGTTACCAGGGAGACCATCTACCGGTCACACAGAACCAGATTCAAAGAGTGAAGACATGACCCCCAAGTGACTTCTCAAACTCACGACTTGAGTGTAATTCACATGCGCCTCCCCTGGAAGGCTGCCTGGCCAGGCCCAGGCCCAGAGTTGCTGCCCAGCCCTGTGAAGGCTGCACTGGAGCCACACCCTCGGCAGCACCAGGCTGCAGCTCTGCCAGACTGAAGCCACACCACCTACAGGCAGGGCTGCAGCTCTGTTGTCTTCGCAGCCAGGCAACAAGCGGAGCGCCTGGGGTGGGTAAATGCTGCCTGGAGGCTGGGTGGACAGGCGCCTGACACAGCCAAGCTGAGGCAGACGCTCGGATGGCCGCATGGCGTGCGGCTTCTCTCCTGGAGACCAGGGAGGGCACTGCGCGTTCAGTCGCTGCACCGCCTGGGTGGTCTTGCTTCTCTGCTCAGCCTCTCCCCACCAGTGTGGGGCCTGGACACCTGGCCCTGACTCGGGCTCTGTTACCTGCCAGCTGTGATTTCCTGGGAAAGCCGCTTACCTGCCAGAGATTATGCCTACATCTGTATGCTCAGGAAAACGAAATGCCTCCCATGGAGCAGCTACAAGGGTTACCGGGTGAATATAGATGACTAGCAGGGTGCGCAGGAATAAGGATGCCTGCTAGGTCCTTAGATTTCTCTAGTGCCTTGAGGTCCATGTGTCACCTCGATTATTTCACACAAAGCACCCACAGCCACCACTTGTCTCCATCTCTAACATGGAAGCGGACTTTGGAGCATTTACGGGACTGGACCCAAGACACTGAGCCACCAACAGATCAGAGACAGAAACCGACGTCTCCCGACCCAGAGCCCAGAGCCGCGTGCAGGTCGCCGCTGCCAGCAGGACAGCTGCCTCCCACTTCAGTGCACCTACCCGGTCCTACTGTCAGCAAAGCAGCTTCGGGTTTCCTTTTATGCACAAGAGTCAAAAAAGTGGGGTTAAGAAATGGCACATTCCTCAACCCAGAAAACAAGGATGGCTGTGATGCGAAGACGGCCATCTCCTCAGCTGCCCCCGAACCCGGCCCTCTACACGAGCGGCGGGGAGGAGGTCATTCAGCCCCAGCTCTGCGAACTGCTAGGGAACTGGACACAGGAAAGCAAAGGGGAACTTACTTGACGGCGTGCGCTTTACTCCGGGGGCCAACTCAGCTTTTTTTTGCTGAGTGCTCAGCATCTTCCCTTTTCCTGTAACCCCGTTGGAGGCTACTGGGGGCTTTTTACTCTTCAACTGTTGAAATAAACATATAAGGACATTAAAATCAAACGATGTTTAAAAACTTGGGCTTTCCTGCAGTAAACTGTCTCAGTCTCTGACACTTTAAACAGAACCAACCTGGCACAGACAGAAGAAAAAGAGGATAGTAGAAAACGGACTTGGTTTCCAAACACTGAACTGCTGTGATTTTCCCAGACTAGCTAGGAGGCTCCAGCATTGAGGCTCAGAGTAAATGAGGAGCCCTAGGATGTCTTCAGTTGGGATTCCACACAAGGCATCTGTTTCTACTGGGAGGTCATAAAGGCAAGTTGGGAAACTGGCACAGACAGTTGAGTACCAAGAGCATTTGGTTACGATTATTCAAAGTCAATGTTTCTGAAGATTAAAAGCTTTTATTCTGGTAGAATGCTGTTTTGGCGGGCCAGCATGACTGTGCGGTGAGAGGCCTGCTTCAAGAGCTCTTACATGACCTGACTGACATCCTAATGGGCTGAGGAACTACCTTTGGCTCATGCACAGGATCTGAGGAAGGAGCGAGACAGGCACAATACAGAATATATTATAATATATAAACATCATAAATATAAATTGTAATATAGAATACAAGATATAGAGAGTATCAACTAAATTTTAATTAACCAGGTTTTTAAAAAACTTCAAGAGTGCCCCTACTTCTTTGATTGCTGCAACCATAAATGTTGCATTTTAAGGAACATATGTGCACCTTGGTTGTATAATAAATTCAGCTCAATGGCAAAGCTTAACTCCAGGCAGCCAAGCCCCTGCTTTGCCACTACACGACATTTCTTGCCGCTGTGGGCCTGGGTCTGAGGAGGCACACAGATCTAGCTTCACATTCTGGCTCCATCATTTAGGAGGTGCTGAGCAGGTCATTAACACTTTCTGAGCCTCAGTTTGCTCATTTAAAAATATAAGGATACTGATGCCTCCCCACAGGGTTCCTAAGAAGGTTGAAGTTCACACCATGCCCCGCACAGCACATGGCACAGGGAAGGCGAGAGATGTTGCCATTAAATAGCAGGTTCCCCATCAAAATGGCCACATGAGCCCAGCACACTAAAGGTGCTGCAATTCAACTGGCAAATGTGCTTCCTACTTCAAACAAACTAAAACTGAGCACACAGAAACCACATATCAAACTGTTCCAGACTAATCAGGGGACATTCTAAGTGTACACAGTGGCATATCTTGTCCCATGTCTTTTACTAAGGGAACTCTAATACCAATACAAAGATAAATACAGTCAGACACACCTTCTCTGAGGGAGGGAAGCACACAATCTGCCAGACTGACATAAACACCCATTAAAGCCTAGAGGCCATGGCTCCCAGGTCTGACCACCCAGGGGCCTGGGCCCCTCACACTCATTGAATCAGAATCTCCAGGGGTGGGAGCTGAGCAAGTGTTGTTAAAAATCAGAAACAAAAGTCTCCGCTGTGATTCTGATGAGAGCAGTCTGTTGGGAAGAGCTGTTATAAGCCACTACTATCAAAATTCTGGGATCTTCCTAGGCATTCATCATTTTCTTAAGATTACCCAAGAAATGGAAGGAAAAGAAAATAATTTAAAATGTGCTCATCTGCTTTACGTTTGCAGAGTGTTCTTATATAAGGTGCTTAGATCTTTATGTGAAGTATACAAAATTCTTAGGTTGAAAATGCATGAAAACACAAAATTGGTATCCACACTGAAATGTCACTGTTTGCCCCAGATACGAGGTGTGGGATAGACAGCAGTTCAGCACCAATGTTACTTATCATTCAGTGGTAATCCCAGACCCTCATTTTCCTCTGCTCAGTTTTGGGGGTGCATTTTCATACTCACTGTGGTCAAACCCTGTGGGCCTCTGGTTTACATGTACTGGGGACACAGTAAAGAAACCTGCAACTCAAGAATCTTCTGAGGAGTTTTACTGTCCCTGTCCTTTTTAAAATGTTTGCCTTTAGTTGACTTAATTCATAAAATTCACTGGGGAATCTTCCAAGAACAGAAAGAGAGCCACCTGCAGGCAAAGAGGTGCAGTGCTTAACCCGCGAATTAGTTGGGAATATTTAACCAGCACCTGGTAGCCAATGTTGACTGCACTTGCAAATTATGTTGTGGTTGAGGAAAAAAAAATTACACTTTGCTCTTAAGTCTCATTTACTACAAGTTGGTGGAATTAGTATCATTGCAAAACTCTGTAGGAGGAGCACAACTTAAAGATGATTCTGGAATATGGCAGTGAGATGCTGTACCTGCGAGTTGAGCCCGAGAGATGCCCTCCCCACAGAAGAGGTGTTAGTGACAGACAGAGCAGAGGGCAGGCCGCAGGAGGCAGGGCATTTGTAGTGGTTACAAGACAGTTTGTCAGGAGAGGACCTAGAAGCCTTTCTGTCAGCAGGTGGGTAGCGGGCAAAGATTTTCGGAGACGGCAGGTTATCGTACAGGACCGCGTTATCATAGAGGGCCTCTTCTCCCAGGCCTCTGCCACAGGAGGCAGGAAGGCCATCTTCGGGTTCCCACTGCAACACACACAGCTTTGTCGTTAGTGCGCGGCCGCAGAAAGCACAGCAGACTTCAGCATATTGTGACATTATCAGCATCCCCAGTGCAGGCACACACCCCACATTGTTATCAGTAACACACACACCAAGTAGGTGGACTGATTCAAAATAACTTTCCCACCTCTGGGGACTTAAGGAATGGTTTCTTTTTCCTTAAATTGTCCCCATGGTCATTGGTTTATGAACTCTCAGTTTTGTTCTGTTTTTAAAATACAAAAGAAAATACTCATTTGACATTTCTTTCTTTAAAGGACCAGATTCCAGAAGTCCTCCTAATCCAGAAAGCAGAAGCAATCTGATGCAAGCACAGAAAACCAGGCTGGAAGGCACATTACGATCCCAGCAGAGCGCTTTATTTTAAAGGGGTGACCATGTTCTAGGCACTGCTAGGAGAGTTATAAACATCGTTCTCAGGGGGCTCTCCTGGTATGAGGGAACTGAGACAGAGAGAGGTCACACGGCAGCAAGAGGCACGGATGGACCGGGCCATCTCACACTGCACACGGGGCTGCCTCTGGGCCTCGGGCTCCCCAGGGTGGGCACCACATCTGGGCTCTCCCATGCCTGCCACGCACACATCAGTGATGCGGGATTTCTGGGTGATGGCCGGCTGGCACCATGCTTTGTGCCACACTACGTTATGCCTGAAAAGAGTGCTGCAGCCAAAACAGTCTGTTAAAAGAAAGACATCAAATCATATAGAAAATGGGATGTTCCAAAATATAATTGACATAATGGCATTATTTTAGAGGAAAATCTTTCTCCAAAGACTAAAATAGCTATAAAGCCTCTTTAGAACACGGACATTAAAGTATAAATTAAAACCAAAACCTAATAACCACAGCCGGGTCCCTTCAAGTTTTAAAGGTCTTTATAAATTGCCTTGGATTACCAAAAAAAGAAAAATATTAATTCATATATCATGCTCATTTTATCCTATTTTTATACACTCCTTGCAGAGTTTATTGGTGCCAGACTGTAATTACAGCCTTTTGTTATAAAAATAGAAAGGTTTAAAATGTCACAGGAGGAGTGTTTTTATCCCTTTGTAATCACTTCAATGTGTCTATTTTTGTGATGCTGGGGACTCATCTACAATCTAAAAATAATGGTACATACAGATGAACTTGGATGCGGGATGTGAGGGTTTCATAATGACAGCCTAGTATATATTTGTCCAGGGTTATTAAAGTGATCTAGACTACACTACCATTTTCCTAAAATACCAGAGGATTAAGTCACATGGAAGACTTAGAAAACAAGCTCCATAGAAGTTTCCAGATTAAAAGTATATGCCTGAGACCTTTGGGGTTTACTTTCATCTTGCTTTAGGCATGGGGTGAAGGTCAGGGGGAACACTGAACAGGTAAGAATCACTGATAAAATGTCAGGTAGTAGGTCAAAAAATATGAACTTTATAAAACAGAGAAATAAAGCATTCCAAAAAAGATTCTCTGGTAGTGCAGCCCAGCACATGGAAAAATAGTTTACAGAAAGGCCTGAGCTTCAAGGGAGCCCTTGACAAGCCAAGAGCTACAGACTCCACGCAGGACGTTAGGTCTCAGATGTGCCTGTCCCTGCCCAGCAAGGTACACACAGAGCAAGTCCTGAATGCAAAGCTCCTCCAGAATGGCTATTTTCATTTTTAATGCAGATTAAGCCGTAGTAAATGACCCAAAGAAAGCTCATTCCTGGATTTAGCATAATAAACATCCGAGAATGGGATGGGTGGCGCTGGATGACTATTAGTGCAGGTCTGGGGCTTCTCTGACCATCAGCTCCCCTACACTTCCACGCCCAAGTATGTGCACAGAAATCCCTTTGGGGAAGGCACGTGGAAGGGCCTGTGGGTGGGAAGGTCTAGAGGCAGGTTTGTGTGCTGCTTTTCAAAAGCTGGTGGCTGAGATCAAGGGTCAGAGATGCAGGCGGCCTGAGGCAGGACCGGGCTGCTCTGCCAGGAGCTGGTGGCCACATGGCAAATGGAGGCCAGCAGAGGCAGGGCTGCCCTGGAAGTGCCAGAGTGCCTGGACTGAAGCTGCTCTTACAGGGGTGACCAAGGGCTCTCCCTACGTAGCAGGCCTGCATGAGCCCCGCAAGGGGGAGGGCTACAGCTGTGGTGGGCACCGGGGCCCTCCAGCCCTTGGAGGCCCCGGCAACAGGGCCAGCAACGTGACTGGGCCTCCTGTTCTCTTGCTGTGGCAGCCTCACCTCTCGCCCCACCCCCGACCGCCCTGACTTGGCGGGACTCTGATGGGCTCTGCAGCCAGGGGGCATTTCAGCGCCGTGCCCTCTCTTAGCAGCCTGTCCTATCCTGAGTCCCTGCTACTCCGCACTGCCAGGGCCCCACCCATGTGCACGCCCACTAGGCTGGGAGGCCCTTCAGGGGAAGAGGCAGTATCGTACCCACTGGTTTCCGGTTCCCTAGCACAGAGCCTCGAGGCACCCCGAAGAGGAGGAAGGGAGGGGACAGGGAAGAGAGGACGGCGTGAGAGAGGGCAGCAGAAAGGTGGGGGGGCCACATGATTGCAGAGCCCCTTCAACAATCCAGTGGGGAGCCCAGGGACAGGCTGCCCCCGCAGGGACCTCGGGACGGCCTGAGGGGGCGGCAGTGGGTGTCTGACAGGAGGAACGCCCATGGCACGATATCCAAGACACCCCAGACCCTGGGGACCCCTGGGGACACGTGACCTCACCATCCTTGAGAAGCTGGCTGGCCACCTCTGGCCCAGACCATAGCACCCTTACTTTGTTTGCTTATATTTCTGAGCCTCGGCAGTCCTTGACCCCCTCAGCTCCCTTGAAGCCAGTGGACTCCCGGCTCCTGCCTTGGGCAGATACGGGATTTCATGGTGGTGGGTGACAGGGGGCTGACCAGTGGCATCCGTCAAAATACTGAGAAAAGAATGGGTGAGCAACACAGTACCACAACAAAAGATCTAAAATACCTTCCAAGGTTGAAAAAATGACGATGAAAGTATTCTATGCCTACCTGTGAAATGTAACACAGAAGCCAACTTTACATCCCCAAACACTGGGGACCAATGGGAGAACGGTTTCGGAGTGCCTCTGAAGGCCTCGTCTCTGGGGCCCAGAAGGCGGGCACGGCGCGCGGCTGGAGAGGGCGCTCAGCAAACGGTTGTGAGAGGGGCGATGGAGACAAAGGCTCGCTGATGGGGCCCGCTGGTTACGCACGGCGCAAAACGCCGAGAATGAGAAACCCCTCAGGCCAAACACACCAGCAGGCTCATTTTAATACAGAAGCTGTTGCCGAACATCTCCAATATTTATATGTGGACACGAAAACAGCAGACCAGGATCGGTCCCGTCACCGGTCACCGACGCCCAGCCTGGGGGGAGACACCTGGAGTTTGTGGCGTGGTGGTTCCTCGGCAGCAGCACTGCCTTCCGGTGTGGCTCCTCAGCGCCTCCACCGCACTGGGAAATGGCCACTCTCTGGTAACTCACACTGCGCTCTATTCCGATCAGCTACACTCTGACATGTCACCCTTTTGTCTGTATTGCAGGATGAGCCAAAATGTCTGACTGATGGCGCTGACATTGAATGGCAGACTGCTTACGGGTGTTCACAGGCAGAAGATGGACAGCTCACCAGAACAGGGAGGGGAGAGCTGCCCAGGCCCTTCATCCCGCCTCAGAGCCCCGGGAAGAGCCTTGCTCACTTGGACGGAGCCAGGGGCGCCCACCTTCAGAACCTCGGACCCCTGGCCTCCCACTCACCGAGCCGTTGATGCACGGCACGTCATCGTAGTGCAGCGCTGTGCCGCTGGGGTGCGCGTAGCCATTGGAAGTGCTCCCCAGGTATGGGTTAGCAGATATGCCACGCCTGTTCATGAAACTGAAAGAGAGGGAGAGGGTCAGATTCCTCCAGTCCATCCACAAGTCTTACCTGAGTTCCAGCGTGATGCTCAGGCCCCGTCAGAGGCTACAGGGGAGAGAGGCAACAGCGCCTGCACAAATGGGGGTCTCAGGACAGCAACGGGCTGCGGACTATACAACCAGGGTCCCACCTGCCCTGCACGGCTGCGGCGAGGGCTGGGGCAGTGCTGCCGGGCACCCCCAGCAATGCCGGGCACACAGCCAGGACTGGACACCTAATGCCGTCTTGGTCGTTGGAGCCTCTAGCCAGGGTCCTGCCCAGGCCTGCTTGCTGGAGCACAGCCCCACCCTCTCGCTGCTGTCTGCGGCTGGTCTCCAGGGCCTTGTGACTCTTCCAGGAACCTGCTAACTCTCAACAGCAGAGCCACGCAGCCTGCAGAACTGAAGTATTTACCAGCTGGCCTTTTTTGGGAAAAGCATATGGACCCCCAAAAGCATAAGCTCTTGAGGACATTATTCAACATGTGTTTCTCGGTCTTCAGCGTCCGTCCTTATCATTACCACCTCAGAGCAACTTACCTCCACCCCCCACTCGTGCCCCAATACCTGAGGGCCTCTGACAGCAGCCAGCGAGACCCTTCAGGAAGCCCTGTTCGAAACCTCCAGTGGACTCTGAAGTGGCTCCAAGAACAACCCAAGGTGCACAAGGCCTGCAAGGCTCTGTGTGTGGCCCCTACCCCCGCCCCGCCCGGCTCCCCGGGGTCTCCCAGTGCACCGCCCGCTCTGTCCGCAGACCCCTCCCCACGTCTGGGAAGGCTACTAAACCAAGGCCTCCCCGCCCCAGCGCCCCCTCCTTGGCCTCCTCTGCGTTTCCTCATCACCAAGGGAGACACCTGGAGTTTGTGGCGTGGTGGTTCCTCGGCAGCAGCACTGCCTTCCGGTGTGGCTCCTCAGCGCCTCCACCGCACTGGGAAATGGCCACTCTCTGGTAACTCACACTGCGCTCTATTCCGATCAGCTACACTCTGACATGTCACCCTTTTGTCTGTATTGCAGGATGAGCCAAAATGTCTGACTGATGGCGCTGACATTGAATGGCAGACTGCTTACGGGTGTTCACAGGCAGAAGATGGACAGCTCACCAGAACAGGGAGGGGAGAGCTGCCCAGGCCCTTCATCCCGCCTCAGAGCCCCGGGAAGAGCCTTGCTCACTTGGACGGAGCCAGGGGCGCCCACCTTCAGAACCTCGGACCCCTGGCCTCCCACTCACCGAGCCGTTGATGCACGGCACGTCATCGTAGTGCAGCGCTGTGCCGCTGGGGTGCGCGTAGCCATTGGAAGTGCTCCCCAGGTATGGGTTAGCAGATATGCCACGCCTGTTCATGAAACTGAAAGAGAGGGAGAGGGTCAGATTCCTCCAGTCCATCCACAAGTCTTACCTGAGTTCCAGCGTGATGCTCAGGCCCCGTCAGAGGCTACAGGGGAGAGAGGCAACAGCGCCTGCACAAATGGGGGTCTCAGGACAGCAACGGGCTGCGGACTATACAACCAGGGTCCCACCTGCCCTGCACGGCTGCGGCGAGGGCTGGGGCAGTGCTGCCGGGCACCCCCAGCAATGCCGGGCACACAGCCAGGACTGGACACCTAATGCCGTCTTGGTCGTTGGAGCCTCTAGCCAGGGTCCTGCCCAGGCCTGCTTGCTGGAGCACAGCCCCACCCTCTCGCTGCTGTCTGCGGCTGGTCTCCAGGGCCTTGTGACTCTTCCAGGAACCTGCTAACTCTCAACAGCAGAGCCACGCAGCCTGCAGAACTGAAGTATTTACCAGCTGGCCTTTTTTGGGAAAAGCATATGGACCCCCAAAAGCATAAGCTCTTGAGGACATTATTCAACATGTGTTTCTCGGTCTTCAGCGTCCGTCCTTATCATTACCACCTCAGAGCAACTTACCTCCACCCCCCACTCGTGCCCCAATACCTGAGGGCCTCTGACAGCAGCCAGCGAGACCCTTCAGGAAGCCCTGTTCGAAACCTCCAGTGGACTCTGAAGTGGCTCCAAGAACAACCCAAGGTGCACAAGGCCTGCAAGGCTCTGTGTGTGGCCCCTACCCCCGCCCCGCCCGGCTCCCCGGGGTCTCCCAGTGCACCGCCCGCTCTGTCCGCAGACCCCTCCCCACGTCTGGGAAGGCTACTAAACCAAGGCCTCCCCGCCCCAGCGCCCCCTCCTTGGCCTCCTCTGCGTTTCCTCATCACCACCTGGCCAGGCCGCACGGTCTGCGTCTGACCAGCAGCTTCGGGGGAAGGTGGGCTCCGCGCCACTGGTCATCCCTGGCGCTCACGGCCTCCCATGGTGGCTGGTGCACAAACGGTGACTGACAAGTGCGGAGTGAGTGGCGCACGAATGGTTTGCTCACCAGGCTATGCTGTGGTTCTAAGTAAAATGTGCAAATGCCTGGGGAAAAAGTGGCCTAGATCACACTCTCCCCCAGCGGGAAAACATAAACATTCTGGAATGAAAAAAAGGGTTTGTTTTTCAGATTTTGTTTCCTTGCAGGATCTTGCCTGTGTACGACACCTGGGTGAATGAAAAGGAGAGTCAGTGAAAGTGAGTGCGGGCAGCACGGTGGGAGATGAGAGCTGCTGCCTGGCAAGAGGCCTGGCAGCAAAGCCCCCCGATCTCCGGCTGGGCGAGAGGCAGCAGGTCGGGAGTGTCTGGCGGGAAGCGGTGCCTCCGCGCGGGGCACCACGGCGGTTAGGGGCGCGCATGCTGCCCCCTGCCGGGGGTAGGCGGCTCCGCACGTCCAGGCCGCCCCCACGCGCATACTCCCTAGTTCATACAACTCCTTGCATTTATTTTCCTGATATAAAATATTTACAATTACTCTGTACTTGCAATACATAAACTTAATATGTGGGGAAAGGAAATGTAGAGGAAAGAAAAAAATACAAGGCAGAAAAATGTAAACATTCAAGAGTTCTGCAATGAAAATGAGATTTTAAATTTGTTTTTAAATATATAAGGTTTTCTGATTTAAATGTCTCAATTGAGGGTATTGCGGGGTGAGGCACCATGTACAAGTTTTGTCAGTGAGAGGCAGCAAACGGAACGGATGGAACCGCGGCTGCACGGACCTCTCTCCCGGCGCCGGCCAGGGGCCCTGTGGCGTCTGGCCCCGCACAACACCCATCTGCACCGTCTCCCTCCTGGTGGACGGGACCCCACAGCAGGGCTGGAGCATGCTCGGTCTGTGTGTTTGGCTTCGGGTCCGGGGCCTCGCACTCACGCTGGGGTGCAGAGACCAGAAAGGGGCGGGGACCAGGAGGGGGCGGGTCAGAAGCTCACTGCGTGGAACAGACTCCCGCAGGGTGATTCTGACTGGCGGGTCACAGACACAGGAGGTCCTCGCTGGAAGAGACCCTGGCCACCATCTACCCTACCCCTCCTCCACAGAGTGGGACCTGGCCCCCAAAACCTCTGGGCCTCTGGGCCCAAAAGCCTCTGGGCCCAAAAGCCTCTGGGCACTAACAAGTGGTGGGACAAAGTTTAAGCACCAGGCCCTTATCTTCTGCTTTGGTCCTCTTTCTATAGCAGGGTTTTTAACCAAGTATAAAGAAGTGGAAGTGAGTTAAAAGACCACATGACACATGTTAAACCAAGAACATAAGACACTCATGGGAAAGATACATACTGTGGTAAAATGTACACAACATAAAATTTACCGTGGTAAGCATTCTAAGTGTACAGTTTGGGGGCAGTAAGTACATTTGCATTGTTGCGCCACCATCCGCACCATCCATGCCCATCATCTTCCTCTACCCAGACTGAAGCTCTGTCCCCATGAAGCACTAACTCCCTATTAGCCTCTCCCCAGTCGCTGCCACCCACCATCCTACTTTCTCTCTCCAAATGTGCCTACTCTAGGGACCTCATGTTGGTGGGATCATACAGTATTTGTCCTGTGTCTGGCTTATTTCACTGAGCATAATGTCCTCCAGGTTCATTGGTGCTTTAAGGAAATACATTTTAAAATAATCCCTCAGGAATTCAGATGAGACAATGACTCAAGATACCAGTTGCCCAACAGTTCGTCTGCTGCTTTTTGTCCACATTGACCCACTGTTCTTCGTCAGCAGCAGCATTGCTACAGCTCCCTCCTGGATCTCTAACGGAGTAGGGCTTGCAAAGAGTTTCAGGAGAAAAATTCAGGCCGTTTCCCTTGTATCAAAAATCTGTATCACATTTAAAAATAGGTCTCAGGAAAATATATTTCAACTGTTTACCATTATTCATATTCCTAAATACGCTACTTCTCCTGGGAGAATTTAGATTACTATATTTTCTTTTACTTCCCTCTTCCCAAAATATGATTGCCCTTTCTCCCTCAAACATATCCAGTGCAGACACTTCCCCAAATAACCTTGAAAAGATTCATTAACTGGCTGCCAATTTGCATAAAAGCCAAAAACTAATCTTAGAACAATTATTACATCAGCAAGTTGCCATATTCTATATTTTGAACATTGTTTCCTAATTAAATCTGTTCCCCCTTAAGTTTTACAAGAATGTTTAGCTAGAAAACTGAAAAAATGAAAATAAACTTTATTGCTATTTGACCTCTCCTATAAAGGTTTTAATGAGGTACCAAAGATTCTTGTAGCCATAAACTCATTATATGAATATTTTTAGTAAATCATTTTTCAATATTGCAATCTACATGCCTTTCTCAAAATGTGACCTTCCCACATTTGGTTTAGATTAATATTCCACTTACTTAGAAAGTAGAAGCCAAGCTGTGTTCGGAGGAAATATTTTTATTCGGGGTTTCCCGTAAATGTGGTTATTAGTTTGCTGATTATAGTTACATGTGGACTTAGGAGACGTTTGTGGAAATCTAATAACTTCCAAATAACCAGTTAACGGACATAAATTTTTTTCTTTTATGTCAGTCTAGAGGTGTAGGTTTTGCAAAGCCCAATTCCTGGATATTAGATTTCTTACAGAGCCACTGTCAGTGTCCTTTATTTACTGCATGGACTGAATGACTAGGAGATTCATTGTAACTGGCCTGCGTTTTGTTGATCAGACAGAATATTATTTTGGAAAAAAAAATGAATATAAAGGGAACAGTCAGTACTCAACTATGTCATTCTGATTTTTACATAACAGAACAGTGGTCAGAACAGGTGGTTTATACTTTGGAAAACCTCTAGTATTACTGGAGATTTTCTGGCAAAGCTGGAGGAAACTAACTCCTTCTGTCGAGGCTGTTTTCTTAGTTGGGGGGGTAACATGGTGACTTGATTCCTAGTATGGGCCAGAGTTTTTACTTTATTTTGCCCCAGAATATCCCAGTCAGCATCAAATAAATGTTTATTCTATAACACCATTCAAGATAGAAAGAAAGATTGTTCAAATGCCCCATAACCGCAACTTGTGGGGAAAAACTAGATGGTGGTGTTCCTATTCACAAGGCGAATGCCGGTGTAAACAGTGAGTTTCTCCTCCCCATGGTCAGAGGGCTTTATGATCTGAGAGAGCACGGGCGGCCTGCACAAGTCGTTGATACGTTTATCATCGCTTGCTGATCATAAAACTCCATCACTGGTTCTGTTTCAGTTCCCCTCTCCTCGTGCCCGAATCCAGACTGTCTCAGGACAAGGGGAACAGAAGCAGGAGTCCGGGGATCGGTGAGATGAGAGCCGGAAGTTTCAGACAACAGCTCACCCAACTCTGCGATCTACACAGGGAGCTGAGACGCTGACAGGTTACGAATGGCTTGTCCAAAACTTCTTATTCAGTAAACACTACAGCGGGACCAGAACTTGATTTCCTTTCCCCAGTCCAACACCTTTCCCCTCCTGTTCCCAGGGGCACAGCTTTAGACCTGGAACCAGCAAAGTCCTGCCAAGCAGGGCAGCATCCCTGGGCATGCGGCCTGGCTGCCTCCGCATGACGTGCAGAGCTGAGCCATGCAACAAACAGGAGTTGCTCCAGTGGGAAACCTGGTTTTACGAAGTTGAAAACATTCACTGTCTGCCCTTTACAGAAAAGTTGGCAACACCTGCTTTAGACAATGGAGAGCATGGAGCATAAACCTGCAATTTCTTAGTTTCTCTAATTCATTACTATAAATCAGTGATTCACAAATGTTATAGTCTTTACGTCTTCTCAGGTTACTGAAGAACCCCAAAGAGCCTTTACCTATGTGGTGTTACCTATCAATTTTACTGTATTTGAAATTAAACCCTAGAAATGTATTCACTTCTATTCATTTAAAAAACAATAGGAATAAATCCATCATGTTTCAACATAATACATTTTTATGCAAACTATCTGTATGTTTCAAGATCAAAAAAGGTCATGAGAAAACTGGAACTTTTTACATGTTTGCAAATCCATTCAGTGTCTGGCCTAGAAGCAGATGGCTGATTTCCCCACTTGCTTTTGCATTCAGTCTGCACTAACACACTGTTCTGGGGGAAGTAAATGAAGAAAGTCCAGCCTCACACAGAAGTGCGGTCGGAAAAGTGAGGTGAATTTAAATGGCTTCTTCAGATGGTTGTAGATGGCACTTCGTCACAACACCAAAGCGACAAGTGGTAGGTCCTTCACGGTTAGTGGTGACACACATCTGAAACTGTACCAATGATCTCTGTTCCCTTTCCCATTTTCAGTTTATCTGGGCACTTGGAAAGGATCTCTGCCCACGAATGACTCACCCACAGCTTTCAAAGGCTGACTCACTTCATCATACCTTACCAAAAAAATCATGCACTGATACCACCACTGGTCTTATCAGACAAGGCTGTAAGTACTGGGAGCTGTCAGCTCACAGTAGGGGATACAAATTTTGAAGAATTCTAATTTCTGAGTGAAAGTTCAACCATACCACAGCCAACACTCTCAACCGTTTTCCTCAAGATGAGAGAGACTCATTTTGTTCATGTTCAATGAAATGTCTGCAGATATCGAAGTCTGAATAACCATAGTTTGTCATTGTTTTTCAAGTAAAAATGAAAAAGTGGGCGGGAAAAAGCAGTTAGTTCAGCCAGCAATTGTTTCCTCAAGACAGCACCACCCCAGAGGAGGTGACTGTGTCCTCCCTGTTACATCATGCAAATATGAAAAGACCATGTACACAAGAGATTTCCTACAATAACTACTATCTGGCCCTTTACAGAACAAGTTAGACTTTTACTGCTTCATCAAGGACATCTAAAGTGAATGCAGTATTTCCTGTCACCGTGTGTGTGGTGATGACGAACACCATGATTGCAGCACCGTGTGGCATGACCATGTCCATGCCAAGGCGCCAGCCAGTTGACCCCCATTGCTTTTGCACCACTGATGCAAATGCCATGACAAGGGTCCCGTGAACCACACTTTAAGAACAGCTGCTATCATGTTATCAGTGACCTTTGTGATCATCATGTTAAAGGAATACTCATCATTCAAAAAAATGTTTTTGTATGTACTAAGCTTTTCAAAAATTCACAACTTTCATTTTAAAAGTACATGACTATTGACTTTGAAAACTCAGTCCTCACTACAGCTTACAGAATAATTTCTGTCATGTAAAATTGTTCTCTTAATACAGGGGTCAGCAAACTATAGCCCACAGGTCACATCTGGCCCTATGTCTGTTTTTGCAAATAAATTTTATTATAACACAGTTTGCCCATTTATGTATGTATGGTCTATGTAGGCAATGGCAGATTTGAGTAGTTTTACCAGGAAACATTTGGGCCACAAAGCTAAATGTTTACTATCTTATCTTTTACAGGAACAGTTTGCCAACCCCTGATCTAATAGAAAACACAGAGTTGAAATGACAAACATTTCAGCAGTCTGGATTAATGTAATATAAAAGGGAAAGTCTTTAGTTGTTTTTCCCCCTGAGGCTATAGATATAAAAAGTTGAAAAATTAGGGAAAAAATAAAGTTGTTGAAGTTCAGTGCCATTTCACATGACAATGGATCTTACCAGAAGGTTTGTTTGGCTGTCTGGATGACATTTGCAGACATTTCCACATCTATGTAGTCATAGTGCAGAGCCCCAGGGTCCGTGGAGGACCCTGTCTCAGCCAGCAAAATCCCAATCCATCTGCCCATGTCATCAGAGGAAGATGCCTGTTGAGGTGAAGGGGGAAAGTACATCTTACTGAAGTGGTAGTGAAGTTAGCACTGTCACATGTCAGCACAGAGCGCGCAATGGGGCAGGACACGGATCCTGGAGGGGTGGGGCAGCACTGCGTTCACACGAAACCTTAACACAGGAGGCCACGTAACGATTTACAGCCCAGGGTGTAAAAATCTGAGGTCCTAAAACACCTTCTGATTCCTTTAGGGAAAAGCATTAGGGTGTAAAACATAGATATGAAGTCTTTGCTGTAGAAAGGTATCTGGAAAGCTTCAGTAATTTGGCAACAGAATCTAGCCAGAAAAAGAAGCCCCTCCAGCAGCGGGTGGCTGGACTCAGAACAGCATCAGGTCTTTGCCTCAGTGCATCTCAGACTTTGTTCATAGCAGTCCTTGTGACAGTCTCCTAAATGGGCCTGAAATGGCAATTTTATTTCCCTAGATTAGATGGTAAGAAATGTTGTTTATGTAGGTGTAATAATGTTTTATAATCATTGGGCTGCTTTGTACATAATGTTTTTTAAGATTTCTGAAATTCTCCTCAACCCCAAATTTGATCTTCTTAATTTGAAACCTGAAATATATCTTTAAGACCCTGTCAATTAAATTTTTAAATCATGATTACATGATTTAGAAAGTCAGTGACATTATATTCTTAATGGTTTATGAAATGTTAAATATATTTGATTAATCAAATATGTAAATAATATTAAGGTTAGGGGACATTGAGCTATCAAGTGCACGAACTAACTGAATGCTAAAGAAAAACTGAATTTATTTAAAATTACTAATTTTTAAAATAAAGATCATAAATTTGACTTAATGACTTAGAATTGGGTTTTGTAATTATAACCTTGACAAGATGAACACTGATCAGAATACAAATTAATTGGAAATATTCCAAGAGCTATTATTTTTTCCAAGGAGAAGTTATTTTTTGTGTATTAAAATTGGCTAGGACTATTGTACAAGTAAAAAATCATTCCTAAACAGTATCAAATAAGATCATCAGGACAAAGAGAATCTATTCCAATTATGTATCCTGCAGGGAATTAAGAATGTAATCAATTTGCTAAATTACAATCAACTGATTTGAACACTTGGGTAAAAAAAAAAAAAATCACACGTGTTCTTTTCATTGGCCTTTTATCCCTCCCGAAAAAAACTCTATACCAAGAATGTATCTATAAAATATTCAGCCATAAAAAGGAATGAAATCTTGCCATTTTTGGCAACATGGATGGACCTAGAGGGTATTATGCTAAGTGAAGTAAGTCAGACAAAGAAAAATACTATGATTTCACCTTTATGAGGAATCTAAAAAAAACAAAACAAATGAACAAACAAACAAAACAGAAACAGACCCATAAACAGAGAGCAGACTGGTGGTTTCCAAGGGGAAGTGGGTAGGGGATGGGCAAAATTGGTAAAGGTGATAAAGAGGTACAAACTTCCGATTATAAACTACTCATGAGGATCAAAGTATAGCATAGGGAATACAGCGAATAATATTGTAATTTCTTCGTGTATTGACAGATGGTAACAGTACTTATCATGGTGAGCATTTACTAATGTATATAATTGCTGAATCACTATGTTGTATATCTGAAACAAATATAATATTGTCTACCAACTACATTTCTATAAAAAAAGAAAAAAGTATCTACGACTAAATCTGTATCAATGACTCTAAAGCTATTTTATTTAAGCATTTTTTAAAAGTATTTTAACACAATATAAAATGTGAATGATACACACTAGAGTTTACTAGTTGTTTCCTTCATAGTTCATTTTAGGTTATATCTTCAGAGGCTTTTAAAAAATGACCTTGTGATGTTGGACCAAATTTAGAGGTAATAGTTATGATCTTATGACTTTTAATATAGATGTACATATAGATGTGGGTCCATATATGCATATTCATATGTATATGCATACTTACATGTATAACATACACACATCATGAAATGTGGATGTGGACGCACATACACACCTATTTCTTATGTCTGGCTATTGAAAAGGCCCAGCAGTAATCATGCCAGTAACCACGAGAACACCGTGTGCCCACACTCTGGTTTCTGAATACCACCATCTGCCAGGGAGAACACTAGGGGCTCTTTGGAGAAGTGACTGACTCCAGGCCTGGAGCAGGGAAAAGTACAAGATGAACCTGGGACATCGTACTGTGTCACAACACAGGCAGTGTTCTTGAAAGTCGACGGCACTATAGTGTCTTTATTATAGGGACAGAGCAAAGGCCACAGGGGCCAGCTCAAAGCACCTTCCACTGACCTTGTCTGTGATAATTTCACCCAAGTAAATCATGACAATGAAGGATTTAATCTCTGATTAAAATAACAATCTAGTCAGGCCCATTGATACACACACACACACAAATGAATGGATAATTGATTAAATGAGAGGAAGAAGAAACCTTCCTGTAGAAGATGCTGGCTGGTTGGTGTGGAAGGAATAATGGATTAGAAAGTCCTCATTAGCAACCGTCATTGTAATGACCGTTTCAGGCAAGAGCCATTAATGGGTGAGATTGTGAGTGATAACAGGACATTTACACAGTCTCCAAGTATCTTTCCACAAGATGCTTATGAAAGACAAGGGACAACACCGTGACCTTGCAGAGGGGAAGCCGTGCAGACAGCCTATCCAAGGGACCAAAGCAAACATCACTCGTAGTGGGACAAAGCGACACGTGTGCCTGCTGATACGAAATACTGCAAAATCCAGCACTGCTTCCCCAGGCTCCAGACAAGGATACCCCCAATTCTAACTTCCAGGAAATAGCAGAGCCCTCAAATGGGGGGACCTCCTACACAGTCTGAGCCCTTCAAAGTATCAACATCATGCAACCAGACAGATGGAGAGGCTAGAAACTTGTAGCTGATGTAACACAGGACCTGGGATTTCTGCTCAGACCAGAGACATTAGTGGGATAACTGGGAAAGTCTGATTAAGATCTATGAATCAGACAATAGTATTTTATGAATGTTAATTTCCTGGTTTTGCTAATCACTGTAGTTTTGGTAAGGGACTGCACTCGTTTTCAGTGAATTCACAATAAAGTATTTAGGGACAAAGGGGGAAATGTCTATAAACAGTTCTGAAAAACTTTATGCAAAGAAGTGGGGGTGCAGGAGACAGAGAGCGGGGAGAAGCACAGGAGATAGCAAACATGGTAAAATGTTACCATTTGGGGAACAGAAATGAAGGGTATTGCTGTAATTCTAAAATTATCCCAAAATAAAAGTTAAAATAAAATGATCTTAGTAAAAGTACAGATTACAACTTTACTAGCTGGCTCACTGCACTTGATTGCTGATGAGGCAGAGCTCTCTGCTTATGTTGGAATGCTATGTGGTTCTGTGTGGGTTTGTTTGAATGACTGGAAAATGGAAGGAGGTAACATAACACAACACCCCCAGCCTGTCAGTCTGGAAGCAAAGGCAGGTCAGGACCTTCCTTCCTGGGCCTCAAAACCCCACCCAGCCCAGCTCCTCTCCGAGGGCAGACCGGACCTCTCCCCCTTCACCACCACACCCCCTTCTCCCTGCATGCTCTCTCAGATCTGCTGCCAGGGCTCTCCGGTGGAACCTGCATGATTTTACATCAAGAGTATCGTTTCCTCATTTACATATATGGCTTTTTTCCATGGCTATCCACCCAACAGTTTTCTGCCTGATCAAGTACACTGATTCTAGCCCAATGCTCGTGTCTCACAGATGAACGAAGCAGCTAAGAGAGAAAAACGTTTGGTGTGATCAAAGCATGCAGAGCTAAGACCAGGACACAGGCACTGGCTGCATGCAGGCCTGGCCTGCTTTCTGTGTAGCCATCCTATTGCAAAGCCAGCCCTAGGAGACAGCAGTCTATCCTTCTGACCCCTTATCACAAACTACTGGGCTGTATGCCCCATGGCAGGAAAGACTATATGGTTAACTCTTTAGCCCCTACCAGAAATTCATTTCTATGAAACAAACTCCTATGTCTTATCAAGACCTTCTAGACAGAGTAACTGGGCCACCTGGACGTTGGTCCCAAACCCAGGCTCTTCCCTCCACTGACCAATAGGACCACAGTCATTGAGAACCCGGCCACTCCACCAAACCTAACACAGCCTCATTTCTACTGCCTACACGGCATAAAGAAACTTACATGTGCTCTGGAAATTCTACAGTCTGATATTTGTGTATTGTGGTTATACATGTGTGTGTATGAGTATCTTTGTGTCTTAATCATGATAATGCTAAGGGAGGAAATGGCAAAGGAAAAAAGGTCTGAATATAGGGTAGAAAATAAATTAGTGATATAATAGACAAAAAAGTACATATTACAACTTTCAAAAATGAAAGTTCTAAGTATGAAAGCTAAGGAATTAGTTTCATTGCCTTTTTTCTGCTGTAGAATAAGAAGTTGTAGGAAAGCAGCCAAACAGACAATAAAATGTATACAAAGCCAAGGGTTCCTACAAGCTAAAGGTTTTCTTCTGCGTGCTGTGGATTCGGTTCACCAGCCACTGCCTGTAAGGCAGTCAGTTGTCTAAAAAACCTGCTCCACCTATAATGGACTCAAGGGATGAGTTAGAGGAAACACCACCATTTCACAGGCAAACATAGTTGGGGAAAGAAAGTTTTATTGGAAATTTTAAAACCAGCTATATTCTGGCAGCTGTTAAAAAGCAATCTCCTGTAAGGAGCTGTGTATTTCATTTTCATGCAAACATTGGATGAGAGGAAATGAAGGGAGGAGGAAACTGGGCAGGTGAGTCTGGCTTGTAGCTCAGGAAAAGCTGGCACAGCGCTGTGGGCCCAGGAGTGCCCCACAAGGAGGGCAGGCAGAAGGGGGAAAGAGGAAGTGGGGCAATGCAGGTGCTGCTGGCCAGGCGTGAGGAGCCTGGTGCGGAGCCAGGAGGTGGCTTCCGGAAGGAACTGCCAGGAGTGTGGGGTGGCCCTGCAGCAGCCTACCTCCAACACAGCGACCTCCTGCCCGTTGCGAAGCAGCCGGAAGGTCAGCGGGTGTTTGGAGTCCAGTCCCGGGATCACCTCACAGCCACGCAGAGGGATGGAGACAATGTGGGTCTTCAGATCGGTCCTGTCCTTGTGGAGGATGAGCTTGTTGTCCTTCACGCGGCACCACCGCTCCCGCCAGCGGTTGTTGGACAGCACGTTGAGGTAGCCTGCAGGAAGACAACGCGGACTGTTGGCTCCCGGGGAAGATGAGCCTGCGGAAAGTGGCTGATGGGCCCTTGTTCGGGTCTCAGGGAGAGAGGCCCAGTGAAGGCAGCCGGGGTGAAACAGGCTCTCACACATTTCTAAAGACAAACACATAAATAGGAACTGCCACAACGGCAATGTGACTGACTTCAAGCAAGCTTTGGGGGCTCTTCCTTCCGTATCAGAAGCCCTAGGTAATGTGGGGTGCGTGTGTGCAAAGAATCAGTCACTAGATGTCGAATGTTGCTGTGGGGACTTGGGGTTTGTCTGGGGAATGTGGAAGGTCACTGAGCCATGGGTGTGTGGATGGCGAGCGGGAGATGCAGACATGGTGAACACCTGCAAACAGATGAAGGGCTGTCATACACAAAAGAACTCAGGTGCCTCTGGAGAAGCTGCAAATGAGACAACCAGGGCAAAAGTTGCAAGGAGGCAGATTCTGAGTTAAGAACTATCTGAAAATGAAAGCTTTTTTCAGTGCTGGGCGGCCTCAGGATGTGGTAAGTCCTCACTGCTGGCCACATTCCCGGAGAGCCCCAGGCTGCACTCAGAGAGCTTTCTTGCAGCCTCGAGTTTGAGGGGTTTTTTGACTGGGGAAGGCTGCCCGGAAACCCAGACTCCGGAGTTGGAGCATATACAGAATGTTCCATTCACATCTCTGATACTTATGGTATTTTCAGTACGCTACAGGTGTGATGTAATTACAGGAGCAATTATCCTCCTTTTAAAAAATGGAAACCTCAAATACAAGACACTGATCATTTTCATTTGTCACAAACATAACATGCATTTTTCTAGAAATAACAAGGCATGTACAGTAGACTGCACAGGTAACAAGGACTTCTAACTGCCCCAGGATGCTAGTGAATTACTGCCCCCTTCTGTTAAGATTTAGGAAGGGACTTAAACGCATACAAAATGCAGGTCAAAAAGAAAGGATTCCTTAAGCCATCAGGTACTCTTTCAAGTCACACATGTGCTCACACAGCAAAGCAAATCCTTCCCAGTGTTTGCTCATTTCACGTTTCATGTCTTACACACTTTATTAGCAATGGATAGGTGCCGTGCGGAGGGACAAAACCAAAGCCGAAGCCCAACACATAGGGATGCTAAGGGCCCGTCATGGTGCTTTACATACTGCATATAAACATTTGCTCAATGAATTTATGATGTAAACTCTTATAAGGTTTTAATTTTCCTTTGGCTACATGTGAATCAGTTCTATGAACATGCCCTAAACAAAAGCGTTGAATGAAAACTTCAGTTTGGGGGCATGAGTTGCCGTATTTGTGAAAAAAAAAAAGAGAAAGCAGGGAAGTGAGCCCATTGGTTCAAGTACCTGGACACAAATTCCTTGTACTTTATGTATTATAAATAACAAATTCCTTGTTATTTATGTCTTCAGGAGGGCCTGGAGCAGGGTGAAGGAGGCTGGAGAACAGAAGTCGGAAGGAGCCAGAAGGCCCGCTGTACGGAGGGGAAGCTCGTTCCCCAGCAGGTGAAGTGTCTCGCTCACAGCCCCCAGCAAAGCCTGACCTGAAGCTCTTTTGAGAGTTAAAGACAGCAGATAAAGAGCTGTGGTTTTCATTCTGTAAAATGCTATTTATGAATGACATAGCTCTGATTTGTTCTTTAAAAAACAGTCAGTTACAATATCTGGACATCGAAGTCATGGCTATTAGAACCATTAATATCGATGATTTTAGCACTACTGTATGTAATGAACCATGCTAAAAGCTCACTTTTCTGGACTGTTATGAAATGACTGCAAACTGCACCCACTGTATATTCTGAGCATGAGTCAATGCACCTGGATACAGACATGATGGTGTATCTAGAAAGGCAGGAAATTGCTCCTAAAAAACAATCTGCTCAGACATGTAAGGTTAACACCAGGTGAGGAATTGCCACACAGAAGAGCTGCTAAGCCTGGGGCACAGAGGAGTCAGGATTTGGGCTGGCAGAAGGGAAGCCTGTGTGAAGTCTGGAGGGGCTCAGTGGGTGAGGCGCTCCTTGCCTGGGCCTTTAGAGGTAGGGGCCTCCTATGAGCCTGGGGAAGGGACGGGTCTGGCTGGAGAAGAGGGGAGCATGAGAGACATCCAGGCATCTGACTACAGAGATCCTCAGAATCTATTGGTAGAACGTGGCCTTGATGCAGAAGACGGCAGGGAATCGTGATGGGAACTAAGATGCTGGAATGTTCATAGAGTAATTTCAGCAAAGTGCACGAACCCGCAGCATATCTGCTTTCTACGTAACAGTGAGAACATTCCTTCGGATGTCCCCACCGCTTTCCAGTTTCAGAATTCCCCACAGGGGCGTGCTCTCTCCCGTCTCTGCCCTGCAGAGCTGGCCAGCAGTCCCTGAGGCTGGCTGCACTAACCAAGTGACAGTATATCCACCGAAAAAGCAAAGGTGGCCTCCTGATAGTTCCTTCCCTGGCTGAATCTGGCCCAAAGTCACCGAATGCTATGAATCTCTTGTTCTTTTAGTCACAAAAGGAATGACTATACCGGACAGATTTACATTTTAGGTAGAGCATGACTAGATGTGGAATTACCATATTCTAACACCTTCGTCAGATTTATTGACAGTCCCCAAAGAGAAAAGCAGAAAGAGGCCCCTGGGGAAGCCAGGACTGTTTCTACAGTCAACTCCATGGTGACATGTCCACATATGGCAGCTGTCCTCCCCTGCCAGGCTTGCTGCCCTCTGTTCTTCTCAAAAAGGGTGACCTAAAATTCCTACTTTCTGAGTAGGGCACATAGAGATGAGGAAGGGGCACGCAGGGCAATGGCAGACAACCCATCTAAGGACCCTGGGGTCAGAGGTCCCCCTACCCCTGTATTGCCCTGACACCACCCGTCTGGTTGATGGCATGGGTGCAGACACTGAGTCCCAAGTCTTCCCCTTGAATCCTTCAGCTGGGCAAGGCCCACCACCAGGTGGCGCCCAAGTGCAGCTGGGCCAGGCCGGGCTGGAATCCTGGGTGCCCAGGCTCATCCTGGTCATTTCAATGAACTGTTTGGTAAGGCAATTCCAATATAATTTTATTTTTCTTTTTTTGGGTCCCACTTATCATGTATGGTGAGGTGTTACTGTATGTGAACAATTTTGGAATTTCAGCTTGGTGTTTCAAGATTATTTTTGCTCTAAATTCTAAAGAAAGAAATCTAAGTTTCTGGCAAAACTATGGCAAGAATACAGGAGGTCTCCTTTGAACTATAAAATTAGCTTTATCGGTCTGGTATTAAACAAAAACACAGAGGGAGGAGCGCAGACATAATGCTCCCAGTCAGCTGCTGAGGGCCTGGCCTCTGGTCTCACACCAGGTGTCCAGCAAATTGAAGCAGCTGCACAAGAGCAGGCAGAGGCTGCCTGGCGGAAGTGCGGCCTGGCGTCCCCAGATTTATTTTCTTTAGCTACGTGTTTTGGTCACACTTTTGAGAGGACTTTCATTCCAGTGAGCTGCTGATCTTCTCAGCAAGTCTTGGTCCACCGTCCAAGAGATGCAGACCTGGGAAGATGCAGACCTGGGAGACGGCCTGGGAAAGGACCTCCAAGGAGGAGGAGGGGACAGTGCATGTCCAGATGCTGCCCATGGTGGATCCTGAGCCTGCCGATGCCCTAGCACCGACCTCCCCCCCTCGGCCATGTGCCCCCTGTAGGTGCATGTGCCAAGAACTCATATGCCAACACCCAACAGGGCGGCTCATACCAAGACTGCCCTCCTCCTCCTGGGTTAGATGTCACTTGACTTTTGGGGTAGATGATGATTGAAAGTGAGAGGCATATAACTTTCCTGTCCACTGATGAATCCAATTGTTGAAAACTTTGAAAAACCACAGAGCATGAGAGCTGGAAGAGGCCCTGGACATCCCCACTAAGCCCTTTAGAGTAGCTCAGGCGACCTGACTCCAGGAAGCCCTCCAGCGCGGCACCTGGGGCCCCTCCCCCCTCCTGGACTCCCTATTCTGCAGTACCTGTGTGCTCATCGGCATCGCCTCATGTCGCCTTGAATATGCCTGCTTTGCTCGGGTTAAGAAGAAAATCTCATCAGGTGAACAAAAAATATTAACAGTGACCATCTACTGAGCATAAACTATGAATAGGCATTGAGCTTAGTGCTTTATGATTTTACATTCAATTTGTAGGAAAACAAAGTAGTTTTAAGTATGGGCCCATCTCAAAATGAACAACCAGAGGCTCAGGGAGGTCATGTGATTCACTTAAGGTCATTCATTCAGTCAACAAGTATTTACTGAGTTGCCATCATCTGCCAGGCTCTGTGCTAGACGTTGGGGACACACCTCAGAGCAAATTAGACTTGAATCTGAATCCAGTAACAGAGAAGAAAAAGCTGTGATTTCAGTTGAGATAAGAATCTTAGGACCCTGAACTAAGCAGCAAAAGAGCCTTTTCTCAGCCTGGGATGACATAATGAGTCACGGTCTCCAAATTCCCATCTGGTGTCCCGGAGGGATGTGGAGTAGAAGGCGGCCAGTCAAGAGGCATGTGCACGAGTCCAAACAACGGCAGACACGGAAGAGGCGGAGCGAAGCGCATTCACAGCGACAGTGATCCCAGGCCTTGTAGGCACTGGAGAAGGACTCTGCAGAGGGGCCTGCGTGCCTGTCTCAGAGCGGGCGCGGCTGCTGCCCACGACACCCCGCAGGCCTAAGGAGAGCCGTGAGGCGTGGGGCGGCACCCAGAGCCGCAGCGCCCGGGCTGTGCTGCGCCCCCCACGCCCGCCCACGGAGCAGCTGCAGAGAGGCGTCTTCCCGGCCCTGCCAGCAGGATTTTCCCTGTGCCTGGAGGCCCAGCTAGCAGCCAGCATTCCGTGGGGCTGGGATGTGAACTCAGCTCATCTGCGCCGGGAGCCCCTTTCCGAGTGTGCCCTGCTGCCCTTGCCACTGCCCAGTGTGGCTTTTCCTCTGCTCGCAGCATGAGAACAGCTGCAGAGGTTGTTCGGCAGGGTCTTAACTTTTCCTGCCTGAAACTTTACAGCCGTACTAAAATGACTGAAAAGAGTCATTCTCCCCTTGGATTCTCGACAGACCCCTCCCCTGTTTCCTTGTCCTAGCAAAGAACTAGGTGACAATTTAAAAACTCGTGGGCAGTGGATGTTCTCTGGACAGAGGAAAAGACGCCCACCAGGCAGTTTGATGGCCACCTGCACGCGCCCACCACAGGTGCAGTACTTCGTTCCCACGTCCTCGCAATCAGCTCGGTCCCAAGCCAGCGCCCAGCCAGCGCACTTCCGGCCACGTCTGACGCGACCACCAGCAGAGCTGGCCAGTGGGAGCCCTGACATGGAGGTTCTGAGGATGTGCAGAGACAGGAGAAGGAGTGGGCTACAGGGAATCCACAGAGGTGGGGCCTGGGCCTGGCTCTGCCCCCAGCCGGCCGTGGGGCCCAGGGCAAGCCCACGTCTCGTCTGGAAAATGAGGATCTGCACCAGTTTGTAAGTTACCTTCTGTCTGAATGTTTTCATGCAAGAATTTCCATTTTCTCCATGGACCTAGAGTAGCTTAAAAAACAAAACCAAAGCTAAAACAGCAATTACTTTTTGTTGGATAATTTCTGCTCTCCAACTTTAATCCTAACTCCCTTCTCCTCTCCGGGGCAAATGTAAGTGGGGAAATGATCCCACATCACTGATGGCTCTTTGTCATTCTAAGAATGGCACAGATGACAAGGAAACACTGCCAGGCATGAACAAATGCCCTCCCCCCACCCCACCCTCCCTAAGCTCTCCCCACCTGGTGTGACCCCTGCCCCCCCTGCTGAGCTCTCCCCACCTGTTGTGTTCTCCTTTGTGTAGGGCAGTGGAAAGGGCTTCAGTCAGGCCACTTCTGTGACTCCCTCCACCTGATGAGGGACTAGGTCAGGGATCTCAGAATGCCCAGGGTTCCTAGACCCATAGTCTCCTTCTGGTGTCATCATCTGCCCCCACCTCTCCCTCCAGACAGCTGCCTTTGGACCCCTCAGAGATGACACCTCCACCAGGCAGCGCCTCCGCACTGTGTGCCCACCAGCTTCCACCCCACCTGCCAAGGGTTGAGGAAGGAAATCATTCGATTATGCCCACTAAAAATCTTATTGGTGCAGCTTCCTAGAACCACAGCTCTTAAAGCTGGAAGGAGCCGAGGATCGGCCTTGCCGGGCCTTCACGATGGGCCCAGGTCTGGCCCCTCCAGGCTCCTCACACGGGCCCAGACTCCACGGGCTACCCTCCTCCGGCTTCCTGTTTGCCTTTAACATAAGCCACACCTGGGACGTGCTCTTTGTTGAAAAGATGTATCTTTGTATGTATGGTCAAGCTTAGGCACTTTCAGGCAGCACCTAAATTACATATCTTTGAGTATCCCCCAAATTAAAACCTAATACTTTGAATAGAATGGATACTCGGAGAGGGACATAGAGAGGGAGGTAAGCATAGTACCCCTACAAATAAAAGGAATTATGGGATTTACACCGATAGAAAGTTGAAGTAGTCAAGGAAAATTATGGCCCATTCTTAATTTTTAAGAATTACCTCTAAAAGGGTAGATAGCCCTTTTTCAGCTTCTAAAGTTCTTCTCCTGGAGAGTTGCATGGTTCTTCTAAGCTTGGCTGCCCAGAAAACACGATGTCTGTGAACTCCCACTGGCCCCCCTCTTCACAGAGGCCGCCTGACCGTCCCCTCCTCTGACTGAGGTCCCTACAGACTCTGTCCTGTTCTCCCTCCTAGCGTGGTCACAGGGAGTTACCGCACGTCTGCCTCTGTGATTCCGGTCCCAGACCTGTCTGCTGCTCACCTGGACGCGATGGCAGGGCAGGCAGCACAGCGATCATGCAGGGGTTCGCCTGCATGTGCCCACACAGTCCTGACCAACAGCAACTGCTCAGATAATACTTATGGATGGAAAACTGATGAGGGGGATGGTCCGTGGGTGAGACTGGGTTTGAAATGTAAGTTTAAAAATGGGGCATTACAAGGAAGGGTGTTTTATTACCGTAGCCCAAGGGAAGAACTGGTCTTAACTCCACAAATGTTCTGCAGTACCCCATTCCCCCGTCTTCACATAACCGAGGACATGGCCTTAAAGGGCTGCAGGAGAACTTCATGGGACCAAAGAGAGAACGTGTTCATCTTGAAAGAGCCTCAGGGAACACCTCAAACTCCTGCACAGTTTTTGATTAATAAGCAGTAAAATGTAATACATTTCCCACAGTTCCAATGACCACAACCCGACTGTCAAGAGGGCAGAGTGGAGAGCCCTGGGAGAGTGTGGCGCAGGGGTCGGGACAGGGGCGGCACCCTCCTTCCGTCCGCCTCCGCCTTACCGCAGGTGGGGACATCCTCCTCGGCCGACGAGGTCTGCTCATCTGTGGACGGCTTTTTCTTCCCCAAACTGATGATCTTGGTGATTTTTTTCCCAGTGACTTTAGAGACGGTTCCCTTGGCCTCTGATTTGGAACCTTTTTTCCTCTTAGCTGTAAAGAGTAATAGTGACGACAAAAGAGTATGTCTCAGTCAAAGACTTTAGAATTGAAAAAAATAAAGATAAAGTATTAGTCGAGTCATAGCCATTTTATTTTCCCCAATTTTTAATTACCGAGTACTGACTACGTGCCAGCTATTGGTCTAGACACAAGAGGAGACAGCAGGCAGAGGTGCTCTCAGGAAGCTTGTGCTCTGGAGCAGCTGGGAGCACACATGTACACACACACACGCACACACACACAAAGGGGGTCAAACGGTGGCAAGGCCCATGTGGACAGTTAGGTAGGGTTATGTGCTGCAGCAACTGGTGGTCAGAGAACGCCTCTCAGAGGGGTCAGCTCTGAGCAGAGAGCCCAGCAATGAGGAGCTGTCTGTGCGAAAGCCCGAGGGAAGGCCAGGCTGGAGGAGCGCTGGCTCAGGCGAACGCTGGAGGAGCGGGACAAGTCTAAGGGCGGAAGGAAGCCCAGAGAGACACATCCTGGCGGCAGGGAGGGCACAGGTGAGTGGGGGGAGCAGTGTCCTTCAGCGAGCCCGCTGCTAGACACATGCAAGCGTGCCCTGCCCAGAGCTCGCGGACAGGCGGCTGGCTCACAGCCTGTCATGTTCTGTTTGGCCTGCACAGTGTTCAGTTACGAATTCATTGACAATATGCAAAATTCACACGTTTTGCATAAAAATTATTTCTGGCTTCCCTTGGGAAACTGGAAGGTCTGGCAACTTTGGACCCACATCTGAGCAAGCAAAGGTGAGCAGGGGAAGTGCCAGGGGATTCAGGACCACGCACATGGCTGGAGCGCCCAGTGTGGCTCCCTGCCAGGCAAACACAAAGTACTGCCTCCCACAGGCTGTGTTCCCCACCTCCTGCAGAACCGGGGGTGGGACTGTGCAGAGTGACCATGTGCCTGTGAGAGCGCACCCAGGCCTGAGGGACGGGACCCCTCCTACGGAGCACCTCTGAAAAGGTGGGCTGCCACTCAACTCGATCGGCTGAGGGCCATGATCTGCCTGGTGCAGGGGGTCAAGGGCACCTTCGCACAGTGTGGGATGTGTTGAGAGGGGGTGCACGAGATCCAGAGCCCGGAGCGACTCCCAACCACTCTTTCTGCCACCACCAGCAGGGCAACACCTTCAAACTCTATAACCTAGAGGCATCACAGGCAATTTTGAAAATGCAATGTAAGTCCAGAATTTCTTCCCCTCCCCCTCTCCCCATTAGCACAAGATGATTCCAGAGGAGGGGGATTCAGGGACGTGAGATCATGAACCTAGGCCTAATCCCCACACCCTCCTCTAAAACATCCTGGTCCTCACACCCACTCCCACCCTGTCCCCACCGGCCTCTCCCAGGCGGAGTGGAGCAGGGGGCAGTCCTGGCTTCTGTTTGCACTCTGCTGCCACTGCAGCCTGGCTGAAGGGCACTGGTGGGATGCCAGCCTGCATCTGGCCTGCCTCGTTCTGCTCTCCTTCCCATGAGACCTGTGGGGTCACTTTGTTTTAACTCTGATTTCCTCTCTAGAAAGAAATGACAGTAATGATGTCTGAGGCAAGAGGTGCTACATTAGAGTTAAAAACAAAGCCGGGCTAAATTTCAGGGTGAACACGGTGTTGGGGACTGAATGTGTGTGTCCCTCCAGAACTGAACTGCTAAAAAGCCTTAACTCCCTGTGTGGCTCTATTTGGAGAGGGAGCCCCTAAGAAGGAGTTCAGGTTAAATGAGGTCATCTGGGTGGGGCCCTGAGCTGGCAGGATCAGGGTCCTCTAAGAAGAGACTGTGCACAGGAGCAAGGCCGCATGAGCACACGGCGAGGAGGAGCCTCGGAAGCCGGGCAGAGGGCTGTCACCAGCAATTCGCCCTGGCAGCACCTCAATCCTGGCTTCTGGCCTCCAACTGTAAGATAGGAATTTCTGTTGTTTAAGACCTGAGTCAGTGGTTAGCTTCTTACGGCAGCCTGAGCTGAGACAACATGGATCAACCTTTTTGTGCGTTATTTTAAATGTAAGATTAAGCATGCCCCTGACCCTCTAGCAGCACATACCCTCTTTTACCCTTTCTGCAAGAACCAAGAATCTGTTTGAATCTCTTCTTCTGAAGGCATGTCCCCTCCCTGGGAGCCTGAAGTGGGGCAGCCACAGCGTTTGACTTCAGATCACTCAAGCCCAAGGTGAAAGCAGCCACGGCAGACCCTCTTGGCTGTTTCTAAAGAGACTGGGGACAATCTCTGAGCTTTAAAGGGGAGACTTTCAGCAAGGGCGGCCGGAGGGCCCGGCAGACATCCCTCTGCAAAGCTCGGGGAATGCAGCGCAAGGTAAAGGAGTTAGACAAGCTGGGTGGTTAGCTTTCTTCCAGTTTTCCTAGGCTTTGCTCCTGTCCAAAAAGTACTCCCTGGACTCTGACTGCACCAAAATACTCTTACTTCCTTGAATGCCCATGGGTTAATTTTTTGCAAAAGCAGAAATGAGGTAGTCCTGGGAAGAAAAAGCCAAAGTATGTAGGAATGTGGGAAAGAGACTGACATTCAATAAAATGTTTGATGCTATTTATTAAACAAAAGGCGGACTTTAGCACATGTAATAGAATTACAAAGAAAAGCCCACAAACTCAAAATTCTCAAAGCACTGCACTTACAGAGTAGCAAAGCTTTGGAGTCCAAACTGCAGCCACCGTCAGTGTGGAGTGGGTGGGACAGCAGATGACTGAGCAAAGCTAATTCCCAGCATTTTTGAAGCCATAAACATAACTGCAGACAGTTCCCTATTAGCCTACATAAATGGTAGTCTAGAAGTTTCTTTATTTGGGAAGAATGGGGACAGGGGGCTAATATCATCAGACTATGTATGACGTGTGATAAAATCTTAAATGTGTGCAGTGCTAACGAGGGACAATGACACTTTGCACAGATCGGACCTCAATTCTCTTTTCTCCTATCAGCTGCAATAGCTATAGGATGCTTACTCATTCACCAAAAATCCTACTACACTGACTGATTAAATACTAGGATTGTCACCTTGAAAGAAGAACTTAGAGTCTCAGTCATTCCCGGCGGCTTTGACCACACGGAGGCTGGACCGTCCCACACAGAGCTGAGAACCTAGCGTGTTGGAGAAGCTGTAGAGTGCAGGATTTTCTCTACTCAACCAGCACAGACATCTGTCTGCGTCATTATATGACTGGGAGAAAGGGAACTACGGAAATCTCTCAAGCGCAAACTGGTCACAAGTGGGCAGCCAGAACAAAAGCTAAGACAGGAAGTCAGAAGGTGCTGGAACTGTTGCTTTCACTCAGTGGCTACTTACTGAGTGTCTACTATATGCAAAGCACTTTCCAGGCAAAAAATGTTTGAACCCAGATCACCTTTACAAAGTATACAGGGCTGCCCTGGTTAAAAGGAAATGGGAGGGTTTAAGTATGGCTATCTTCACCTGCACATGCAAGCAGGCATATAGACCATTCTGTGGGAGCCGTTTATGGAGGGGCACTGAGGGGCCACAGAGGAGGCAGAGGCAGAGGCCGCCCAAACAGCAGCCTGAGATTTCACGTCACTCCACACCAGGGCAGAGCTTAAAGACAGCACTCCTGGCTCCGACGGCACATGATGTGCCCTGGGAGGACACAGAGAGTACTTTCCACAGAACAACTTCCCACGCAGAGAACAAGATTACACGCAGGCACTAGAGAGTGGGAAAGCCACATGGGCAAAGGCAGAGATCACGGTCCTTTGGTCGGACCCTTGTAACACCACAATAGTCCAGGCTGTTTGGGTTCCAAGCTTCTTAATGGCCTGGCTTGCTCTTTGGTTTAAGGAAGACTCATTTCAGAGCAAGGAAACACCCACTCTATTCTCATGCTGGGGCGCAGGTGAGCTGGGTGGGCACAGACTGCTCGTCGGGAAGGCTGAGGCCACGGGCCCAACAGGCACCCAGGCTGCTGGGGCCGCACAAGAATGGCCAACGAAGCTCAGCCCCGCTCGCAGCCCACGCACCTGAAGAGAATCAAAAGTCAGGCCACAAACCAGGAGAAGCTATGTACAGAGCATGAATGGCAAATGGCTTGTATTCAGAATATATAAAGAACTCTTGCAAGTAAATAATAGGAACAAAAAAATCCAATGAAAACAATGGGCAAATGATTTGATAGACATTTCATCAAAGATGACACACAGGAAGCAGGTAAACATTCAAAATGTTTCACATCATTAGCCACTAGGGAATGTGAGCTAAGGCCACAGGTACATACCACCACACACTTATTAAATAAAAAGCACAAAACGGAGTGAAACAAAATGACAATACCAGCTCTGCAAACACGTCTACTGACAGACCAGGGGAAGAGATGACCTACTGCTGGAGTCACATTCAAAATACACACGGGGCATGCATCACGGCCACAGAAACCCCCCGGGCCAAGGGGACACGTGGGGCTGGGGCTGACCGGAGGGCTGCCCTGGAGTCTCCATCATCACCATGTGGGACAATGACAGCTGCACTACAAAACTACCAGGGAAATTTTTCACCTGCTCAGAGTTTACAGAACTGGCTGCAGTTTGCTTTTCATTTTTATTTTCTAGTTCACACATTTTTGGCATGAGCAGGACTCACCTTGTTCCCTCCCATCACACACGGGAACTCCATTCTCTGTGCCTCCCTCCCCGTCTGAGCTTGGCCTCTCTGAAGACAGTTTCTACAAGCAGAGAAAGGATTAAGTCATTCTCACAGTGGTCACGCTGGCCAAGTGGTGTATCGTGGATCGTCCAAAAGTTGACTCAAAGGGGAAGGAAAATGTGGGCCAAGTTTTCAACAACCCAGAGGCAGCAGGGGCCCAACTGTAACAGACCAGCTGCTTGGACGGATACCAAAGATTTTAAAACCTCAAAAGAACAGAAACCCTTGCTGAGGTTATACTAACACTAGCAATAGTACCATGCCTATTTCATTCAAACCACTGTTCGTGCAAATAATTTTGAAAAAATACTAAGATTACAAAAAATATTTGTCACCAAGCTGAATTATCCCTCTAGAATAAATACTCCATCACCCATTTGATGTCCTCCCGTAATTCATCAATAACTGGGTGTCAAGCATCTCCTTGTAACAAATACACTCAGAGTAAATATGCAGAGAGACTGTCATTCAAAACTGTCAAAGGGCACTGGATTCCTGTAATTATCTCAGTCCTATTAGGACTGAGGTGTAAGAAGCACCTTAGGTCTCCATGTAAGGAGCAGTCAGGACTCTAAGTCAGTTCCCAAATAAGAGACGTTGGTTAGAGTAGGAATCTTTCTGTTCTGCCCAGACGACTAGTGTCATAGAGGAAAGGGGCTCCAAATGCCCTCCTCAGAACCGCCCACAGCATACCCAGTACCCTAGACACTGGCCAGCCAGGAGACCAACAAGGTATCTGGATGATAGAGGGGCACAGGGGAACACACACACCCTGCTCATCCTGAGAGGTCCAGGCAATCTTGGCCAAGGACGGCAGACAGGTGTTGCAACCCCACAGCAGCGCCGGGAAGAGCTGCAGTGAAGGGACTATGGTGTGTCCTGGGAACTGAGTATGTACCAAGTTCCGGGGACAGAGTGACTGAAGCTGGCACTGCCCCGGCAACCAGGCTGGGGGCACCCAGTCCCCAGGTCAATAGGTCTGGCCGGGCCCTAACAAAGCGGTCCTAGGAACCAGGGGTCAATCTTCTGCATCAACTTGGAGGGTGTCTGGGGATGAGACTGACATGTAAGCCGGTGGGCCCTGAGTGAGCAGGTGCTGCTCAACAGTGTGGGTGGCCTCACTCGTGCCTGAAGGCCTGAAGGGAGCAGAGACCAGCCTCCCCAGGCACCAAGGGCTTCTCCAGCAGACGGACCCCAGGTCTCACGGCGTCGTCAACTCTCCTGGGCCTCCAGCCTGCAGGCCCACCCTGCAGAGGGTGGGTTTGCCAGCTTCCATAATCATGTGAGCCAATTCCTTAAAATAAAACTCTTTGTATACATATCTATGTATGTACGTATATGTGTACATGTGTCCACATATAGAATGCATAATTTTATAATGTATATGACATTTTATATCTGAATCTTAGGTATATTCGATAACAGATATAAAATATATATATATACACACACTCCTATACATTATATACATACATGTACACACACACATGCTGCTGGTTCTGTTTCTCTGGAGAACCCCGACAGCAGGACAAGAAGCGGTCTGTTCGAGGGCCGGGGGGCTGACTGGGAGGACTCAGAAGGCTCCTGGGACGCAGGCCACCTGCAGAACACTGCGTGCTGGGAGCCAGGGTCCCCACGGAACCAGGACCTTTGCACAGACGAACACAGCACTTCAGAGAGAGCTTATCCAGGGACGGGTTTATCTATTTCTGGCAAGAAGGGCCAACGCCCCGTCCCCACTGCTGTGCCCTCGGGGGGCTGCCAATGAGGGAAATGAGCGCAGAGCAGAGAGGGCCGGGGGGGGGGCGCGCCCTGCTCTGCGGGAAGGCGCACTTGCGCAGCGCCTGCTGCGCTCCAGCGGCACACAGACCCGCACAGTTGTGCCGTGGACCGGCTAGGGCACCTCCGACACCTTGAACCATCACCTTGAAACCCATGGCTGCGTCTGTAGCTGTGAACAATAAAACTTGAGCCCCCAGTCTGAAAATTATTAACTTGAGCTTCATACAGGGTAGACACTAAATGCATAGGGAGTGGGATTTCGTTCCTTTTCTTTTTCTCTTTTCAACCAGAAGTGCTGAAATTATCAGAGAATATTGCCAAAACTTTGAGGAAACCTAAATCAATTGTAAGATTATGATTCCTAGAAGAAACATGCCCCTTACCTTCTCCAGCTCTGCCTTGTGCATGGGGGAGCTTGACGGGGGAGGACATTCTGCATCCGCCGGCCCACTGCAGCCGCTGTGGGCTTCTCTGATCACCTAGAATAAGTGTGCACATTTCTGAGTACACCCAGATCAGAGGTACTTACCTAAGAGGTCGAAGCTTGAGACGGACAGAGGCATACGGTCTGGGGGAAACCCTGGGATCAGAAGCACCTGGATTTATGTTCCAGGATGCCACCCTCACTACTCCTTCACTTGCCAAATGTCCGTCTGACCCCAGTGCTGGCAGAGGTTTGGGGTACAGAGGGGAAGCACACACTCAATGGTCCCACTTTCCTGGGGCCACCATCACAGCACAATTTAGATACTGCCGTGAAAATGCGTATCACCAAAAAAGACAGAAGTTTGTGCTCAGAGCCCCTGCTGCGGTAGCTCGGATGAAGGTGGGGGCGGGGCAGGCTGGAGCGTCGGTGGGGCAGAGAGAGGAATGCATGGATCTGGACGTGTCCTGCTAGAAGAGCCGACAGGTGTGGATGTACCGGGTGTGGAGGGTGAGGGGAGGGCCGCCTCCAGCAGGACACCTGGATTTCCCCGCTCTGGAACAGGCCAGGCTGTTCATTCTGATGGAGAAGACGGAGAGGTGGGATGGGTGGAAGAGGTGGGAGGTGAGTCTGGAGGCAAAGACAGACCTCCAGCCGGCACTGGAAACACACCAGGGGTCGCAGCCAAAAGCTGACGCCCACAGCAGAGCAGGGGGTGAGCCGCCAGCAGGGAGATATGACCAGGAGGAAGACCCGGAGCCTGTGGGCAGGTGAGGTGGAGCCGAAGGACCGAAGCCGGTGAGAGCGTGAGCAGGAAGGGACAGGACAGGGGCAGGTGGGGAGAGTGGGGCCCGAGGAGCGGGGGAAGGAGGGGGACAGCCCGACAGACACCATCGCTAAGATTTCTCTGTGAGGAAGTGGGGGGAGGCTAGGGCGGAGGGGAGCAAAGGAGGGGTCTCCCAGAGCCAGGAATGGGGTGGGGTCGGGGGTGGCAGGGATGGCGCAGGAAGGCTAGTGCATTTAGGGGCAGACTGAGAATGACACTTCGGTCCCACTGAGTCTATTTCCTCAGCGAACTGTAAAGCAGGCATATCGGTTACTCGCTGAAAGCTGTAGCTTCTCTGAGCCTCAGTTTCCTCACTTAGTAAAGGCAGGAATGTCAAGATGACCTGTCTTGGCAATTTAGCTATGGAACCCTGCCTGCAAATGCCTGCACCAGCATCTGGCATATGTGCATTCAAAATGTGGTGGCTCTACCACCTTCGACAGCCATCGTTATGTGAGCATCCTTATGACTTACGTGGAGAGCTCAGAAAATGATCAGGGCCTAGATTTGCAGGTGTAGGAATCAGCAGTGTGTAGGTAGTGACCCTCGGCACTACTGGTGTCCACAGCCACACCTACAGTCACCCACTGCCCCTTCCACCATCACTGAGCCCCCACAATGGCGTGGGCACGGTTCCATTCGCTAAGGGTGCACAGCAAACAAGACGGAAAGGTTCCCGGGTCGGTGGAACTTACATTCCTCTAACGGAAAAGTTAGCGGGCAATCTTTCAAAATGTCCTCTATTCTTTTTGGAACTAAGCTGCAATTTGAGTTCAACCCAAGTTGCCTTCTGGGCAGAAGTGAAATGCCAAAGTCCCAGATATCTGTGTAGTAACTTTGTAATATGATCTCAATAGACATATTCAAATTCACTTGGCTTGCCCTGGATTGGGATTAGAGACGGGAACTGACAGGAGACCAGGATAGTGTTTCCAGCCATTTTGTTGCTCAGCTGTTTTATGAAAAGACAATGGAGGGGTGTCCTCATTTGAGACAAAAACAGGAAAAGACAAAAAGGCAGGAAAAGTCCAGAGAGCTACTGCAGTGGTTTCTCCCTGTGGGTGCTGAGGTGTCAGAAAGCGCCAGAGCAGGCGAAGATCCGCTTTCCCCTTATTCTCTGGTTCACGCTGATTTCACTGTCGCTTTCTCGTGGTGGGTCTTTTACCCTCACCTCCCAATGGATTTATGATATCTTTAGAAGACAAGGCAAATTCTGTATGGACAAGTTTTTGTCTTTTCTCTAGGGAAAGTGCATATAATACAATGGAAAACTCCTGGCCTTTTGTGTCAAACAGAGACTGGGGTTTTGACCCCAATTCTGCCATTTCCCACACATGGGTGGCTGGAGCAATCTAGCCTCGGAGGCCTGCATTCCTGGGCCAGAACATGCGCAAAGCAATAGGGGGCCGTGGGGAGAGGGAAAGGGAAAGCAGTGTAGTGTTTCCAGCCCGGGGCTTCTCCCAGAAGGGACATTAAGTCAACTCGAGCTCTTTTCCCATGATGATGGCGTTAAAAGAAAATGTGTCACATCACATAAACAAACCAGAGCTTCAAGTTCTTCACTTCACACCAAAAGGCTGAACCCCACAAAATGTAACTTGTAGAAACACATCTCTGCCAAAAGTTACAAAAGTTATTCAAAAAAGTTTCTTCCTTCTTCATTTTCTTTCTTGAGGGGGTTCTGCAAGCACGTTAGCAGGATTGCACACTCCCCCTACCAGCCCCTTGGTGGGGGTATGTGCGAGGTGTCTTCCAGGGCAACTGTGCTCTGTCCCTTAGCTGAACAGGACTCAAACTTCAAGACTCAGCCTCGAACTCCTGTGACCAGGATGCCTGCTCTGAGCCTCCCACTGGGACAGACGACATGGCTACCCTTCTATACGTGCACAGACCACCATGCATTCCTCTGTCAGACCCTCGTCACATGCGTTGTGCATTTGCATTAAGCTGGGCTCATTTTCACAGAAGGGGCTATGCTGTGCTTATGTGGGTCTTCTGATGCCTAGCACGTAACAGCAACTTTAAGAAGTCTGACTAAAGAAGGAAAAATAGGAGGGAATGAAGAAATAAAGTGGACTTCAAATTTCCTATGAGGAAGAAAAAATAAAGGGTGAATGAGAAACAGGAGAGAAACCAGGCCATCACGTAAAATAAGTAAATCCTCATGACAAAGTTTCCCCAGTCTGCACAGATTTCTGAAATCCTTGGGGATACAGTTTTTCAAAGGGCATGCAGATAAAAGCCATGCCCACAGCACCAGCATACCCTGCCCCAGCTAACTCCCTCACACTTGCTCCTGGTCCCTGGAATGTCCCCTTGGCTCTCCCTGCCCCATATCAAGTCCCATTTTGCCAGCAAAGGTTCAGGGAGGTGAGTAACCAGTGAGTCACCAGCCATGGAGGCTAACTCACACAATCACCCTTCCTGAGAAGCATTTCCTAATAAACCCAAACCATTTATCTGCATGCTCAGACAACAGCACATAGACAAATGTGCAGTTCTGTCCTCTGTTAACTTCCCCCACTAGAATTTACGTCCCTTGTGGGGAGTAGAGTGTCTCCCAAAGCGCTTTGGAGAGAGATGGGCATTCGGTAGACCCGGATGTACCCAGGACCAGGCTGGGGGACACTCACGGCATCTCAGTGTCCCACGATTATTTATCTCTTCCACATTAAACAGTAAGTCTGCCCCAGATATGGAGAGAGGAATGATGGAAAAGACCAGGGAGCATAAGCTGGTCTCCTTCCTTGGTTTTTATCAACCAGCCAGTTGAATTATTTCAGGTTACTTTTATGAAACTGTTTTTCTATTCTGACCTCTATTTATTGCCAAACTGCCCCTGCAGAGTTAATTCAGGAGTAATAAATAAACGGTTTCTCACCCAAATTCCTTGAATAGGTATAAATGAGGTTTTGTATCAATATATTTCTTTTCAAAGTGCCATGTTCTATGAGAAGTTCAATATGTATTTAAGAGGACTAGATCCAAATTCAGAGACACAAATCCTCCCAAAAACAAACTGTTATATGTTCTGTGGTATTTTTGTTTGCTTTTAACTTGAGTCTTCATCCCCAGAAACACAATCTCTGCACATTTTTTAAGGAAACCTGACCACTGTTTCTGGGAATATTGGCTCTTGTCTTCTGACTGACCCCTACAAAATGGCTCATGTTTTCAGCATCTGTGTACACATAGACACACACACACACACACACACACACACACAGAGTCAGTTAATTTTGGCATGAGCTGCTGGTAATGGAAGCTGCAGACTGGAAGGAGAGAAACAAACTTGGCAGTGGTTTTTGAGGAAGTTTTTGTCAAGTCATGTACTGACTGAACACAAGCCTCATGCTTCTTGGACCTGACAAAGGGTGTATGTGACTTACTTAAGAGATCTTTAATTGTTACACTAAAGCCATGTAATAAGTTTAGGACAAAATGGGATAATGCAGACTGTATTAATAAAAGACTTATTTGTTTTGTGAAATGATTCATGTTAGAGGGTTGCTGGAGTTTGTACAGAAAGACTCCTAAGGTGTGACACTAGTAAGTCACTTATGTTTCAACTGCTTACTACAGTTCCAGGGTGCATTTAACTTTTTCATTCTACATTTTTGCTACTGAAAATTCTGATCAGATAAATGGGAAATAGTTTGTACCAATATCATAATGGCTTAAAATATCCTGGAATTCCAGATTTTGAGACCCTTCATTCATGATCTTGTCATCCTAACATGACATCATCCAGATAAGTAAGGGTTGTTCCTTTTCTGATAGTTGTACTTTGAAAAAAATCAACTTTAATCAGAAAGGTATAGGCTTTACAAAGTGAAATAAAAAGCCATGATGACAACATTGACTTATTTCACATAAAAAAGTTCTAAATCATTTGGGAAAAATAGAACAAAGTTGGAAGACATACATTGGCTGATTTCAAAACTCTATAATAAAGTTGCAGCAAATGAGACAATGTGGACGTATAAACAGACAAATGACCCAGGACAAGAAGCCCAACAGGGACCCAAACATACATGATCAACTGATCTCCAGTCAGAGCAATTCAGGTCAGACAATAGTACTGAACGACTGACTGTCTGTATGGAAGAGAACAGATCTTGAACCCTCCATCTCAGCCTATACACAAAAATCATCATGTATGAATCAGAGACCTATATGGAAAGACCGAGCCATAAAGAATCTGGAAGAGAACACAGGTGCTACCTTGG